ATTGTGTGTCCTCCAGATACCGGCTCGCTATCTCTCCAGTGATCTGAGAGCCGGTGAGGAGTCGGCAGTCTATAACTCTCTCGCCCTCCGAGACCCAACCACGAAACTCCTCTATGTCACTCCTGAGAAGGTCGGTTCATACATTCCCTTCTATGAGGACTGCCCTGGATTAAGGAAAACTCTCTAATAAGGACTCTTTTTCTTTCTCGAAGAGCTGTTGGTTCATCCATGCTATCTACAATGTATGTATGTACCCCCCTCTGAAATAAGGACACCTCACTAAAAGTGGACGCTTTCTTCTCTCCCTATTTGATCCATTGCAGATTTATTCCCTTGGTAGGCTTCATCTTATGTACTTATCTCGCTAGTTTGACAAGTCTCTCTCTCTCTCTCTCTCTCTCTCTCTCTCTCTGCCTGCAGCTAAGTGCCAGTAACAAGCTCCTCTCCACATTAAGAAACCTCTACAGTCGGGGGAAGTTGTCTCGATTCGTCATCGACGAGGCCCACTGCATCAGTCAATGGGGACACGACTTCAGACCTGACTATAAGAGACTCTCCCAACTCAGACACAACTACCCAGAGGTGAATAGGTTCGAATGTACTGCAGGTTCAAATGTAGGTTCAAATGTACTGCATTCTGTGGCGAATCTCAGTACAGTGGTTTTATGCATGTGTACTTTTGGCCCAAGCAGGCCAGTGTTGTTAATGCCAGTCATATCAAAGTTGTTGATCATAGCGTAGTACTCCTGATTTAGCACCCAGCCACCAATTTTAACCAGCAAATCTTCCATTTATACAGTTGTGTATCTCCCTTCCCTCCTCCCCCCCTGTCCCCTCCTCACCAGGTCCCAGTGGTGGCTCTAACAGCTACAGCCACACCACGGGTGAGAGCTGACATCCTCCACCAACTTGACATGACCCACACCAAATGGTGAGTGGAGTATTCACCATCTCCAGTACAGTACCCAGCACTCTATTGTCCATAATATTGCTGGAAACTATTGTCCCAACCACGAATTGCGTAACACTTTCAGTAAATAGGGACCATTTTCACCAAGCAATCTGCGTCCAAGAACTTGTTTTATTGCTATTAGCTATAACAATTGTGTTTGGATCTCAATATTAGTCGCCCATCGCACTAACAGGGCCCTATCTGATCTGTTCCTAACAGGTTTACCCAGAGTTTCAATCGTACTAATCTGAACTACGTTGTGGTTCCGAAGAAACCCAAGAAGATTGCCGAGGATGTGATTTCTCTCATCAGCTCTTCGTTCAAGACTCAGTCTGGAATCATTTACTGCCTGTCTCGGTATGGGAGTATGCGTGTTTGAGAGTATGGAAATGTGGGTGTTTGAGAGCATGGAAATATGGATGTTTGAGAGCATGGGTGTTTGAGAGTATGGGAGTATGCGTGTTTGAGAGTATGGAAATATGGGTGTTTGAGACTATGGAGCCCTCTATTTGTTGTACAGGAGGGACTGTGAGTTGATGGCGGGAGAGTTGTGTAAGGCGGGGCTGGCCGCCCTCTGTTACCACGCTGGTCTCAGTGACGGTGAGAGGAGCTCTGTGCAGCAGAGGTGGGTCCAGGAGGACCGCTGCAAGGTCAGTGAGGGAGGGAACAAGAAGGAATGACTTGTGTAATAGTAATAATGAGTCCATCCTATGTATAAACTGTACATACTGCAGGAGGTTTTGGTGTAAGTGACCCTAACAATCGTATGTGCCTTATGCGTGCCTTTTTTCATCAATTTATCTCTCTTTCATTGACTGTTTGTTGCATGGTGCTAAGTTTGTGTTGCGTAGAGAATGGGAGGATGGTGTTAGGACTCCTCTCCGTAATGTCCATAGGTTGTCTGCGCTACGATTGCATTCGGGATGGGCATCGATAAACCGGACGTCCGGTTTGTCATCCACCATTCCCTGCCCAAATCGGTGGAGGGTTACTATCAAGAGGCTGGTCGTGCGGGACGAGACGGTCGCCCTGCAAGCTGCTATCTCTTCTACAACTACTCTGACATGGCCCGGCTCCGACGGATGATAAAGGCAGAGAAGATGACCTGGGAGCAGGAGAGAGTTCATCTTGAGAACCTCTATCGCATGGTGCAGTACTGCGAGAACCAGGCCGACTGCCGACGCGTACAAGTACTCGCGTACTTTGCCGAGCAGTTTGACGCCTCCGAGTGCCGCGACGGTACCACTCCCTGCGACAATTGCCGCTCACACGTACCGTTCCACGCCGAAGACGTGACCGGTTTGGTCCGAGTCATAGTCCAGAGTGTCCAGAGCATACGACGGGACCAGTTCACTCTGGTACAGATCCTAGACGCCCTGAAAGGCTCGAACTCGGCCAGAATCAAATCCAGTGAGCTGGGAACACTCCCTCTCTACAATCGCGGTGGAAAACTCGGGAAACATGATCTCGAGCGTCTCCTCCACACGCTCGTGATGACAGGAGTTCTCTCGGAGAGTCTCCACATCGGGACCCACGACAACGTGGTATGCTACGTAAAACCGGGCCCGAAAGCCGGCGATGTCGTATCTGGAAGATCGGGGAAGATAACTCTACGAATTCGAGGCAAGGCGAGGTCCTCTTCTGCGGTGACTGACTCAAGACCGGCGCAGACGCAAGAAGACAGAATCAGAGAAGACTGCTACAAATCGCTCCTCAGTCTCAGAATCCAAGTGGCCCAGAAGTTCAAGATGAACAATCCAGAGAGCGTTTTCTCGACCGAGTCTCTGCGACAGATGTCGCAACAGCTGCCCACCACGCAGACGGAAATGCTGAGGGTCGTGGGGGTCACCAGTGTAAAGCTAAAAAATCTAAACGGCGAAGGTTTCTTGAAAATCACGAGAGATTTCGCCTCTCAATTGCCAAACTCTTCGGACACACGATCTCCATACTGGACTGAGAAAGATAATGCAGGAGGGAAGGAGAATAGGTGTGGGAGGGGAAAGAGAAAGAGCAGGGGGAGTGGAGGACCAAAAGCCAAAAAGCCTACGGTTGTGACCACCAGAGGAGATTCGGGGGATGAGTTTGAAAGAGGGCAGACCACCACTGTAACACAGAGACCTGGACTCCTCCCACCTCCCAAACCTAACAGAACTAATTTGTGAATTTTTATTAAAAAGATATTTGTGCGCATGCCTTCTGTAGCAGCAGTTGCGGTGTTTTTTTGCCCACATGCATTCAACCACAAAGTAATTTAGAAAAAACATCATAAGTGACAAAAAAAAGTCATAAACGTGGGGTAAGTGAAAATAGAATGGCGACTGGCAGTAAAAAGCAACATAAGTGACAGACTGGTGGCTAAAGTGAAACAGATGCCTCGGAAAATGTTTTTGGTGAGTGATAAATCGCTAAAGATGAAGTAAGTTCTTTGGTTCCTATCTCTGTCCATTCTGGCTCCAGGGGGTAGGGTATGGGACTGGTACCGCTGTACTTGTCGGGTAGAGTATAGATCCTGGATTGTAGTAGCCTGGAAAACCTGCAGAAAAACAACCACCAAAATATCAATTAATGTGAACTGCTTTAAATCTCATGCAGCAATAGATTGGCTGCATACACAAATAAAGCAACTTACCAGATTCGTAGATTGGTCTGGGAGGAGCTTGAGGATGAGCGTCAGTCTCAGACTCGTGGTGCTTGACTCCTCTAGCAAACGGGTTCTTCTCTTTCTTTAGTTCCGTCAGCTTTGCACTCTGGTAGGCCGTCACGGCAACGAAGCTGGTGAGGTTGAACGGAAACACCAGCGGTTCGGAATCTGGCGCAGAAAGCTCCTCGATCAGCAACTCAAAGTAATACTTGTGCATCGTATTCAGGAGAATCTGGTAGGAAACAAAAACACCGTTTAGCTCATTTGTATATACACAAAATAAGGCAACTGCATAATTCAAACAATACTTACATCTCCTCCTTTGCTCTTGGGGTAGTGGGTGATTTTGACAGATTTGTAGTCCACGTCTTTTGCCATCCACTTGGCCCCGGTCTGTGGGGAGTTGGGGTGCATGGCGACCATCTTCCTTGGGTCGTGAGTGAATTCTGACTCCGACACTTGGGTCCAGGTGTTGTGGAGGTACTTGTAGCGGTAGCGATCGCTGCTCACTGCTCTGACGGATATGTTGTACTCCTTCTTTCTTGTGAGACCACTGATGTTGAACATTAGCAGTGGGAAAATGCACCTGAAGGCAAAATAAAAACATTATAATAATTTTACTGATTAGCTGAGTAGCTGAGTAGTTTAGTACTTAGCTAGAAATTATGGTTACCTGCCGTTCTTGGTTACAATCATCTCAGTGTTGGCCGAGTAGAAGAGGTTCCACAGCTCCTCGGTCTTGGCAGTCAGAGAAACGTGTATGCCGTTCTGCGGCATCGGGGGAGCCGGGAACGAAAGCGGGGGAGAGAGCCCGATGGACGCAGGCACGGACGATTGGAGAGGGAGAATATCGGGCTGCTGGAAGTAATTCTGCGGAGAAATGGTCCCACTGCGATCACTGGAGCTGTCTGGAGGCGTCGGTAGCTCCAGGGACACTGTCGGTCGGAAGTTCTTGGCGGGAATAATGTCGTCTTCTCGTGGCCTCTTTCGTCCTGTGAAACCTGACGTCGTGACTGTTGAGTCTGCGGCGACCGGTTCTGGATGGTGTAAGGGAGGGGGGAGAGCTCCATAGCTACCTGCGAAGAGCGGGGGATAAGTCGAGTAGGGAGCACTGAACGACTGTGGCACTCCGTTGAGATGCGAGCAAGGAGAATTGTAGTTAGTAGCCCAAGACGTGTGAGCGTAGGTTGATGTCGAGCCGGGGAACCCTGCCGCTCCGTAGGTGGAAGCACAGCTGCTGTAGAAACCAAGTGGCGGCAGGAGAGAGGGCCCCGTAGGGTAGACGGGAGGAGGGGCTCGCAGCGTTGAGAACCCAGGAGGGAGGAGCTGATTTGCCGTGGAGCCGCAGCTAGTACTCGGCGGTGCCGGGAGATCCGTCGACGTTAGAAGGTGGGGCTCGGCGTAATCTGCGCTGTCTCCGGCGCTCTCCGGAGAAGAATAGTCGGCTTCGGTGGGTTGATGCATTCTCGGCGATGATCTGAAGATTGGTTAGAGTCGGACAGAGTTCCAGTAACTGAAAGTTGGTGTGATTTTCACTCAGTTTTCGCTCTAGTTTATAGGCCTGAGTGCAACTTCGCAGTACGACCAAAGGGCGCGCGCGTGCGGACAAAGGTGCAAATGGGAACGGCCGGCCGCCGTCGGTCGAAGGAAGATGCCTCCCTGCCTTGGGCCGTTGTCAAGCAGTAAACGTGCTAATTGATAGTCAGGGGCTTACCCACTGCTTTTCCCCACATGCTAAAAAAATTATTGACACTATAATGGCAAGTTCCACTGCTTAAAAAAATGCTGACACTTTGCAAATGGTGCCATTACTGGTGAAAAGTGATTCTCCTGCAGGCTTGGGTGAGGTGAAATCAGTGGTCTTTTCAGAATCTCCTTGACTTCCTAATCAAATCCATCAGAGTATCTCTGTTGTGAAAGAAAAACTAGATCAATTTCTACTGCAACCGCACTCATCCATACTCAACTGGTCGTAGAAATTTCTCTGCTGGTTTCTTCTCTTCCTCCCCTTCCCTCTCCCTCTCTCCCTCTGCTCTCTCCTCTGTCTCTGCAGAGACACGTGCGGGGAGGAGAGGAGCTGTGAGGGCAGCACCACTCCACGTGGACTCAGCATTTCAATTAGATCCAGAAACAAACCTGGGGTTGAGAGAGAGAGAGAGGGGGGGGAGGTATGCAGGAAGGAAAGGGTGAGGAAGAGAGAGGCTCAGCAGCATATTTACAGCCCTGCATATTTACTAACCTTTGTTGTCGGCATTAACGAATGAAAATGCCTGGCCTTTTCTATCGATGCCACCTGCCCTCCCAACCTAACACCAACAGTCACACACTAAAAGTCATCCTGTAAGGTACTAAAACCTTGGCCAAAACACCTGCCTTACCTGGTGCACAAATTCTGCTATTGACGAAGGCATATCGAAAACAAAAACCTAAAACATGGAGAGTAAAATAGATTTTACAAAATAGAAGTCGAGTTACTTGTTGAACGTTTTTGAGGTCCAGACCCCGAGCCAGTACCCCAGTTGCCACGACAGCGGAGTATTTTTCCTCCAGAAACCCTGCCAAAATCTGACTCCGCCTCTCCTGGGCCATGTCGCCATGGATACCAACAGTAGCCACGTGGGGACATCGCTAAGGCAAGGAGGAAAATGATAAACAGTACAGTGTGTGTGTGTGTGTGTGTGATAGGGAGTAATGGAGGGACTTACTTTGTTAATAGCTTCAGCTAGCAGCAAAGTCCCAGCCTTGGAGTTGACAAAAATGATCACTGGTGGCCTATATATGCAGCAACACAGCCAGTCACATAATAATTCTGAAAATGTATAATCTCAGGCCATTATGGATAAATACGAAAACCAGTTCAGTACTGAGCTCAGACAAAAGCCACATTTTCACGCACGATCATCCATCAGATGTGAAAAAGAAAGCAATTAAGTTACCAACTTGAAGACACTGGGATCATTTAACAGAGCAAACAGTCTCTTCTTCTTTGCTTTTTCCTCCACCCACAGCACAGTGTGCCGCACTCTATCAGTAGCACTGTTCACCTGCACCAGTAACCATCAGCTGAATCAAAGAATCCCTGACAAAGATTGTGCACCCTTTGTACCCGACGGTGATAATTTTCAAGAAAAGCTTGCAAACTGACTGTAATGTTAGGACAAAGACATATGGAATGGGGGTTAGAGGGTTAAGTTGGCTGCTTATATATATCCTTCTCTAAGGACACCCCTGAAATGAGGACACCTTTCTCATCCCAAGTAAAACACTTGTATTAAGGACTCCTGACAGCTCACTAGTAAGAGCACCAATCCTTCTAACCAGGACACCAATGGGACAGAAGGAACTGTCCATAATATTAGTCAAATTGCATGCAAGAACTGCTCTTGGGGAAGGAAAAGGTGTCCTTATTAGCGAGATGTCCTCGTTTCAGGGGTGCCCTTAGAGAGGGTTCCACTGTATTGTAACACACACCTCTCCAACTAATATACGGAGAGGATCCTGGAGCAAGTCAGAGGCCATTTTCTCGATGCGAGGAGGGACGGTGGCAGAGAAGAACATCTTCTGTCTGACGGCAGGCAACCTTTCCTCCACCCCTAGCACCTGACCTTCGAACCCAAGCTGCAGCAGAGAGTCTACTTCGTCAAGAACCAGGAACTCCACACAACTCACGTCCACTTCTGTCGCTGGTGAATGTCATATCACATCAAGTATAATATATACCATCTCCAAATTTTGTAGTGTAAATTTTACGTGCTGGCTTTATTTTTGCAGCAAAATTAATATTTTCACCTAGAGTAATCTTTTACCGTGTACATTTCTATTATGAACAACTTGCAAGATAGTATTCTTCAGATTTCAATAGTATTCTTCAGATTTCAATACATTAGGATGTCGTGTGAAAGACTTGAAAATCACGAGCCATATATATATATATATATAATATATATGTTGTAACTTACAGCGAGTCTCTAGAATGTCGAGAAGCCTTGCTGGTGTGGCTATAACAATCTGCATAGCAGGAGAAAAAATAATTGATGACTTTTGCAGCTTGCCAAATTTTGACAACTAACAAATTCGGTACCCTGGTAAAATTATACCTGAACTCCAGACTTCAATCGATATATCTGGTTGGAAACTGATAATCCTCCGACCACCAATGCAGTCTTCATTGACGGAATCCCTAACATTTTTGTGAAACTGTCAAATTTTGTATGGACAATGAAAAATTTTTGACACCTTTCATGATTTGCTGTGCTTGTCGTTCCAGCTGCATGCTGAGTTCTCTGGTGGGAGTGAGGACGACTGCTCTTGGCCCCGCCCCCTCTCGTTGGGTGGGTGTGGTCTCGTAGAGGATTCGTATGACCAGTGGGAGGAGGAATGAAAACGCTGTGATGGAGAAGGGAGGGAGGGAGGGAGGGAGGGATGACCAGGTGGTAGTGCATATATTCATACATTTGCCAGCTCCAGTGGTAGCCTGTACTAGGAGATCTCTCCCAGTGAGGGCAGCTGGAATTGTCTGTCGCTGAACTACCGTCAATCTGGAGTAATCTTCCACATTACCTCGGAGAACTGCAGCACATGCGTGGTGATTGGTCGGTTACTGATGATGTCACTGGTATGGGAACGAACCTGGATGTGGGAATGGAATGTGGTCCAGGGATGAAACTGGGCGTGGCACTCTTGCTCCGATTACCATCAGTTCCAGCTGTATGTACATATTATGTAATCAGACAGAGTTACACACTGCAATCACTAACACCCTTCACCTCTTTTCTCATCTTTAGGACATGTTCCTTACTCCAGCTTGCTACCTCGGGGTGTTCTCTGTACCTCCACCCTTCCCCCTCCTCCCCACCCTCACTGAAGCCACGCCCACACTCACTGAAGCCACACCCACCCTCGCTCTCCTGCTCATCAATGATCCCGAGTTTCTTGAGGCGGTTGGCCTTACACTCCCGACTACAGATATCCTGTTTTGAACCGGTTTTACCAGTTTAACCAACCAGGACACATTAACCCACACAATGGCCTCGTTTTATAGATTACCTCGTCAGTCTTGTCGATGATGTAAGCTCCGTAGCGTCCGCATTCCAGGCAAATTGGCTCCCCTGGAACCGGCCACCGCTGAAACCTACTGAACAACACCACCTCCTCATCCTCCTCTATATTGCATTATGTAATCATTACATCATGAGTATTAGCAGTGCAGCCCCACCCACTTACCTGTGGATGTAGTGGGCGTGTCTGTTGTAGTGGCGGATTCCTTGCTTCTAAAATCTTCAACTACCACTTTTAGCTTTCTCTCTGATGAGGTGGGGTCTGGCTTGGCGAGATGCGGCGGTGGCTGCCGCTTTCCCTGCTCCCCGCGCCTCGTAACAGTCCGCGGGACAAACATCGCGGAGATTCCAATAAGCGCGCACCGCCCACGTGTAGTACCAATCGACCGCGGGGTGCTCTTCCCGTGCCACACTTGTCTGGGATGGCTCTCCGTGTCGTCTACTCCTCCCGTCTCCTCCGTATTGGCCGCAGTTCCCTGAACAGAAGCTATTCCATAGCGTGGTGCACCCAAAGAGTCGCAAAATATAGTTCTTTGGGTTCCAATCTCCGTTACCCGCGGTCCTCGCTCTCTCCCTCGACCTACGACCGATGTGTGGGGAGAGACAGACAGTCCTATTACTACAGTACTAGCAGCAGTGATGGTGGAGGGGAGGAGAAAGATGAGGGGGAGGGGGAAGAAACAGAGGAAAGTGGAGGAGAGGAAGAGGCAGTGAAAAATCTCCACCAGCAGTTTGCCCTCGCTCCAGTCTCAGTCCCAGATATATTCCCCGAGGTTCCCGTTCTTCCAGTCTCCCGTAACCCAATCTTTCCCAAGTTCGTCAAAATGCTCGAGGTCAGAGTTCACCACACACACAGTTTCCATGACAACAAATTCAGCCCCGCCCACTTATGATCAATCACCAGATCAGTGATGCACAGTTGATGAAGCTCATCAGACGTAAAGTTAAACTGGCTTTGCCCTATGCTGGAGCGTTTCTCAAGAAAGACGACAGGTTTGCGACATTTGTCATTTTTTCACTGGGTCATGTTTTGATTGGGTATGTTGCTATAGCGACGAGGATGAAGTGATGACATCACTTGACAATATCCATAATGTGGGAACGTTTGTTCAGATCACGGAACTCCACGACATGGGAGACCAGATGAGAATGATAATTCAGGGGCACCGCAGGCAAGCTTTGCCATGTGATAGTCACATGACCTGTGGTACATCACATGCATGAGTCACAAGACATCTTGTGATGCTTTTTTAACCATTTTTGACAGGATAAGAGTAACAGGTCCAGTTGAGGTGGAAGTGGAGGAGAGTGAGGAGAGAGGGGGTGAGGAGGGGAAGAGAGAGAGAGGTAAGAGGAAAAACTGGTGGAAGAGTTGGGTGGTGGACCCGAAAAGTCGAGACAAGATGAGCGACTCGGAGAGCGAAGGAGAGGAGGAGGGGAGACCAATTCTGATGGTGAGGACGGAGAACGTTCATCACGAGCCGTTCAAGAGCACCGAGGAAGTCAAGGCACTGACTGCTGAGGTCATCAAGACAATTCGTGACATCATCGCCCTAAACCCACTCTACAGGTCTGTCTCTATGGTTACCCAATAGACCAACATTTTCTTCTTCAAACTGTTACTGTGTCTTTAATGCTCTCTCTCTATTTTGATTTAGGGAGTCAATAGCTCAGTTGATAGACGCTGGGAAGAAAGTTGTCGACAGTCCAGTCCACTTGGCCGATTTTGGTTAGTCCTCACATGAGTGTCATGTGACTTATCAATGATGTAATCATTACATAATCCCTCTGTAAGGTGCTGCTCTGACGAGTGCAGAGTCGTCGCAACTGCAGGCAGTTCTAGAGAGTACAGTGGTAAGTTGGATCATGTGACTGTCACATGAGAGTGGAGTGGTCACATGACTATCATGTGATGCTCCTTAGATCACAGAGAGGTTAAAGCTGACACTGGAGCTGTTGAAACGAGAGCTGGCGGTTGCCATTCTGCAACAGAAACTAGGGAAGGAGGTATATGTGCACGGGAGGAAGGAGGGCAGAAATGAAATTCATAACCCTTAAAATTTTAGTAGAGGAGTTAAAATTTTAAGGCTTCAGTGGCAGATACTATCACCATTCATGTTTGTGATCAGGTGGAGGAGAAGGTGAACAAGATGCAGCGGCAGTATCTTCTTCAAGAGCAGCTCAAGATCATCAAGAGAGAACTGGGCCTTCAGGTGACAGGATCAGTCAACCTTCCCCCCCTAGGACACCTCTCTAATACAGACACCTTTCTTTCTGCAAGAACAGTTCTGGAAGGGAATGTGGCAGTATATACATGCCCAAGAGCTAAATTTACAACTAAACAACTATTCCGTTGGTGTCCGGATTAGAGTATATTTCCTCCCTCTTTGCTCTCTCTCGTTCTCTCCCTCGTTCTCTCTCTCTTCCTCTCCCTCCTCCTCCTCCTCTCTCAGAAAGATGACAAGGACGCCATCTCTGAGAAGTTCAGGGACAGGGTCAAGGAGCTGGTGATGCCAGACGCCATCAAGGAGGTTGTCGAAGAAGAATTGAACAAGCTCGGCTTCCTCGACAACCACTCCGCCGAATTTAGGTGGGGTCACATGATGGTCACATGACCTCCACATGATCATAAATGTAGCCTCCTTTCTCTTACTCTTATTTACATAACATTGCATAATAATCACATGATTGTCACATGACTGCGGCCCCCTGCAGTGTGACTAGAAACTATCTGGACTGGTTGACCAGCCTTCCCTGGGGCAAGACTAGCGAGGAGAACTTTGACCTTTCCTGGGCTCGAACAGTTCTGGACGAAGACCACTACGGACTTCAGGACATCAAAGACAGAATTCTTGTGAGTTAAGACGACCTTTAGGACGGCATTTTAGGACAGAGTTTCAGCAAAGGATTTCAGGAAAGTGTTTTAGGACAGGCTATTTGTAACCAAATTCGTTTTTAGACCAGATTTTTGTGTTGTAGGAGTTCATCGCAGTGGGTCAGCTGAGGGGCTCAGTTCACGGGAAAATTCTCTGTTTTACTGGACCACCAGGTACCGTAGTGTCCAACTGGTTTTTGAGAGGGGAGAACACCTTCGTTGTGAACCAGCAAACATTTGCTGCTTTCTTGTTTTGCACAGTAGCAATAAATCAGGTTAGAAAACCTTTAAAAAGTTGTTTCTGAAACGTTGACGTTTGTTCTTCATTAAACCCCACATATATAGAGACTGACCGTATTTCTCTATTGACTCCACAGGTGTTGGAAAGACCAGCGTTGCCCGCTCAATAGCAAGAGCTCTGAAAAGAGAAGTAAACCCTCCAACAATCGGCATTTCTCACATTATTTGGAAATCCCCTCCTCCACTTTACAGTATTTCAGGTTCAGTGTTGGAGGGATGACGGATGTAGCGGAGGTCAAAGGTCACCGCCGGACCTACGTGGGTGCGATGCCGGGGAAAGTCATCCAGTGTCTGAAGAAGGTCGGGACGGAAAACCCGCTTATCCTGATTGACGAGGTTGACAAGATCGGGCATGTTGGGTACCATGGCGACCCAGCCTCCGCCCTGCTAGAACTGCTCGACCCAGAACAGAACTCAAACTTCCTGGACCACTACCTCGACGTACCTGTTGACCTCTCCAAGGTACATGTGTGACTATCACATGATAGTCATGTGACCTAAAGATTAGCCACGATATCAGTAGAAGAACAAAAATAGCATGTTTTGTAAACAAGCAATGATTAGAAGGATTTGTGACATAGTAGACTTTTCAAGTGGTGGTATGGTCATGTGAGTGTCATGTGACATGGTGCCCTGCAGGTGTTGTTCATATGCACGGCCAACGTGACGGATACAATCCCGGCACCTCTGCAAGACAGGATGGAGATAATCCAGGTCTCTGGCTACGTCGCCGAGGAAAAGGTGGCCATTGCTGAGGTAAAAATTAATTTTCACTCTTATCCTGTAAACATTTTACGCCCTATGGAAGTATATACTCCTTGTAGAATTATAATGTATGGGCCGTTATTCCTATTATAATATACTAAGTATATACTACGGTGATTTGTCTGTCTGTGTCCGCAGCGGTACCTGATACCTCAGGCACGTGACGGTGCTGGTGTAGGTGAGGCCCAGCTGACCATAACCCCGGACGCCGTCAACAGTCTCATCAAGTGGTACTGCAGGGAGAGCGGCGTGCGGAACCTGCAGAAACAGATCGAGAAGGTGAGAGAGATGAGAGATTTTTATGAAGTCAAGGTAGGATGCAGGCCTGGCAAGCAACAGGGAAAGATAGTCCAACACTCTTAACTATAGCTTTAAATAAGGTTTTCGTGCTTTTAGCAAGCAAGTGGGGAGAAGGACAGGCAAACCATCCATCCCGAATAGCTGTTGACCACATGGTTGGAGTGTGCAGTGGAAATTCTCTGTTCCCCAGATCCTACGCAAAGGAGCTGTAAAGTTGGTGGAGGGAAAGGAAAAGGAGGAGAAAGGGGAGGAAGAGGGAGGGGCTGGGCTGACGGTGACCAATGAAAACCTGTCCGACTATGTCGGGAATCCAATCTTCATATCGGATCGGATGTACGAGACCACGCCCCCTGGGGTGGTGATGGGACTGGCGTGGACAGCAATGGGAGGAACAACTCTCTTCATTGAGACTGCTCTCACAAAGTAATACCCTGTCCTGCTAATCCTTGTCCTGGTCCCTGTCCTGCTAATCCCTGTCCTGATCCCTGTCCTGCTAATCCTTGTCCTGGTCCCTGTCCTGCTAATCCCTGTCCTGAAATTTTCTCAACTCGGCACATTTCATTACCTTGTCCTGAACTGCTCAGGCTTCGCACCCTTTGTTGTACTATCAACCTGTCCTGATTCTCGTCCTAAACTTTTAGGACTTTCACCATTTGTTGTACTATTAACCTGTCCTGATGCCCATCCTGAATGTGCTTCAGGCCGCTAGCGGGGGAAGAGGGGAAGCCAGAAGCCGAGGGGGGAACCCTGCAATCAACTGGACAACTCGGCGACGTCATGAAGGAATCCACTGAGATTGCTTACACATTTGCAAAGGTTGAGTCACTTAGTTTTTACAGATGTGCATCGTACTTAACTCACAAACCATTATGCATCTGAAATCTTGATGTGTTTTTCGACCATTATATATACCTGGATAAACTGTTGCTAATTGCACTATAGTACTTTTACTTCTATTGCTCCAGAGTTTTCTGGCTGATAAAGGAAACTCGATGTTGAGAAAAGCCAACATTCACCTCCATGTCCCTGAGGTGGGAGTAATCTAGACCACCCAGCTTAGTTTTTGACGACGTCTGAACTTCTCTCCTGATTGTGTGAATCGCAGGGGGCGACCCCCAAGGACGGGCCAAGTGCAGGAGTGACTATCGTATCTGCGTTGGTGTCGCTGGCACTGGGGCGACCGCTGAGACAGGACGTTGCCATGACGGGAGAGCTATCCCTCACTGGAAAAGTCTGTTTTCCTCACAAACCCTAGTAAAATAACGCAGCTGGTATATAGAACACTTGCCTATACTGTTGGTTCGATTCCCACCCAGGGCAGCTCTTAATTTTTACACGGCTGATCTTTTCCCCCAGGTCCTACCAGTCGGTGGAATAAAAGAGAAGACAATAGCAGCCAAGAGAGCGGACGTGAACTGCCTCATCTTGCCCGATGTGAACAAGAGAGATTTTGACGATCTTCCTGACTACATTCGCGAGGGGCTGGAGGTCCACTTTGTCACCAGCTACTCTGAGGTTTTCGACATCATATTTCCCTCGGAAGATTCCTGAAAAGACAGTATCAATCGTTTCTCAGTGTCAGTTATAGCATCATCTCATTTTGGTTTCATACACAGCGGCAGTTTTGGAATCTGCGCGCATGCGCAAGAACTGGCGAGCTAATGCGCATGCGTGAGTTTACAAACTGCAGAGTGCCTGCAGTGTGATGGAGTTGGACGGCGCCTTCCAAGGAGACTGCAGCGGTGGGAAGAGCGATGCAACTGCGGAATCTCTGCCGTTCCACATTGTCAGTCTCCTGTCCGCTTCCCAGTCTCGGCCGCCGCCTGCAAAGGACGCGTCCGGCGACCTGACTGCTGCAGACCATTTCCCGCCTTCCCTGTTGGCGTCGTCCGCACCTCGCCTGCCCAGCTGCAGAGACGCGAGGTCCCAGTCAGACGGCTGGACTATGAACTGCAGACCTAGCAGTAACAGTGAGCAAGCCCTTTTTTCAGAATGCACGAAAAAATCATGATTTTCTTTCGCAGATTGTGTCGGTTGTTGTGCAGACTTGCCCCCGCCGCAAGTTCTGTTCCAAATGCAGACTAGCACTCCTCTCTATCCTCCTCCTCCTTCTCCCTTTGTGTACCCTCCTCCTTCAGTGTTTCACGTTCACTATCAGCTACCAACGCAACCTGAGCAGCCGGTGACAACGGATCGGAATAAAAACTTATCGTCTTCTCCGCCGCCCCGGCGCTACCGCGCCAACTACACGCCCTCACAGCTACGCGCTCTTGAAGACGTGTTTGCAGAGAAACACTACGTGAACAAGGAAGAGAGATACAGGCTGTCGCTGGAGGTGGGTGTCACTGACAAACAAGTGAAAATGTGGTTTCAAAACAGACGGACAAAGATGAAGAAAGAGAGGTCACTCATGCATTAAATCTCTGTCTCAGTAACTTTTCTCCCTCTTTTACCAATGATGTCATTTATACTGAACTAGGCCTCAAGAACAGTATTATCACCTCATCTCATATTTGACACTAATTTGAAGACACCCAGACACCTCATCTGCAGTCGGCAGAGTTACTGTTTTGCTTTTGTCTCCTAGATTTCTCAGGCTTGAATTATTATCACCTCTCACCTCTTTCCCTCAACATCAGCAGCTTTATATCAACCCCAGCTTCAAATTCGCCATCAAAGTTTAAAGAAAGTATCTTTCATGTATAAAAATTGCAAAAAAGAGTGCAAGACTATTAAAAATCACGAAGACTTTACATAAAATTTCACACGTACAAAATAAGAAAACAAAAAGCACCAGTGAATTTTATGTCGTGGAAGCTGAACCTCATGAAATGTCCATGAGAGGATGATGGTGACTTGACGAGGGGGCGTGGCCAACTGTGGAACCGGTGCCAGGTGGGATGTGAGGTGCTGGAGGAAGGTGGTGGTGGGGGGCCAGCGAGGAACCAGCTGGAATTGTCCCGCCAAATTTTGAACTCTGACCTCCGGTACCACCGCTGCTGCTAATGGAGCGTCCGAGACTGGTGCCGGACCAGCCGCTGGCGACGGAGCTGGAGGTGGAGGCGAGGGAGGTGTCTGAGGGGAACCTCTGCATTATCCTCATCTGCTCCAGGAGCCGGCGCACCCACACCGCTATCACCTCCTCTCCCCCATCGTCATAGTGAAGAAGGAACGGGTGTTGCTGGGGGAAACGGAACAACAAAGAGGAAGGGTGCTATTAACTCTGATAAACTGTAAAACTTTCCAAGTGTTTATTAACCCTCGGATGTTTCTAGAAAAATCATAAAGAGGGATTATGAAAGCACTCGGGAGTCATTCTATTGTTGAGGTGAGTTTATTTAACCCTAATCTCACCAGGAGGGCAGTGATACCGGGTCTTGCCTTGGGTAGTTTCTGCATGCTGCGGTGAGAAAAAAAACAGCCACATAAAAGACGAGAAGGGGCGGCTAAGATAGAGATAATTTTCACCATTGCTGGGTGAATTCTATTAGAGATGGAGAGAAGTGCTCCAAAGAAAGTGTGGGGGGTTTCTGCAATTAAAACACAATTAATAGAGCATTGAACCAACTCCAGATAGTTGACCTACCTCGTTAACTATACACTGAAGAAGCTCAAATGGCTGCAGATTGAATACAACATCGGGAATAATAAGTTAGTCACATGATTTCAGGGCTAGGTCACATAACTCTAGAGCTTAGTCACATGACCTCAGAGCTATTCCTTACCACAAGACTTGAGGGTTTGGATCCTTCCTGCAGAAAGAATACAGACTCAGCAAAATTATTAGTAGCCACAATGAGACAACATTTTGTTATCAAAAACCACTACCATTAGCAGTGGGAGGGCACTGATAAACAAGGAGGTATAGACAGGCAGGTGTGTACTGTGGTTACACATTGCGAAATCTGTCCTGCCTAGCTGGGCGCATAGGGACCCTGGGGGTGTGGCTACCTCAAAAGTGTGGGTAAGGGGAGTGGGTGTGACTTACTGGCAGATAGGGGAATCTTCCAAGTGCCATCTGAGGTTTGATGGATGGAGGGAGGGAGAAAGGAGAGAGGGGATGAGATGGAATAAAAATATGGTGTGTGTCACCTCTAGAGTTGAAAGTCCCAAACTCCAGATCTCAGAATGGATTCCATATTCCCCGCCCAGGATCCGTTCCGGCTGCAAGACAAAAATCATATTAGTCACATGACTTTCGGGCTTGGTCACATGACTTTAGAGCTTTGGTCAGGTGACTCACAGCCATGTAAGCGTTGGTTCCGATGAAGGTCTTGGTGAGTGAGGTAAGCAGCTGGACGCTCACTCCAAAGTCACAGAGCTTCACACATCCCTGAGTGTTCACCAGCACGTTGGACGGCTTGATATCTGAGCACACAGAGAGACGCTTTTTAATTGAACCATTTATACGTCCACCAATTTCAAGTCCCACAATAATGCATACATAGCAAACTTATAATGATTAGAATACTCTGTGGCAAACATAAGGTCACTCAAACATTGATGCAAAGTGTTTCGAAACTCAATGATAATTTTACTTACCTCTGTGCATGATCTTCAAGCTCCAGAGGTAATTTAACCCCTTCACGACCTAACAATATAGGAGACAAAGAGTTAAAAAAATGACACAGGGAGGGTATATATAATTATACGTACGTACCCCAACGATAATTCTGCCAAGAACAGGTTCTGGAATAGCTCCGTAACCATCCAAACTACCACCGTCCATGTACTCCGCACATATCGATATTCTGGAAATAATGATGACATCATTACTTAATAACTATGACATCACTGAAGGGTTTGTAAATAAGGACGAAATCGTCACCAGACATTGTTGAAGGGTCTGTTAATAAATGATGATTAATACCTGTTTTCGGCGAAGAAGGCACCGTAAAAGCCAATGATGTAGCTAGAATCACACTGTGGGGAGAGAGGAGGAGAGAGGAGGAGAGAGAAGGGGAGAAAGCATTGGTGGTATATAGTAGTGACAGAGGGAGAGAGGGGGAAGGCGAGAAAGGGAAGAAGAAGAGGATGGAGAGGAGGAAGGACAGAGGATGGAGGAGGAGGAAGAGATGGGAGGTAGGACACACCTTGTGAAGGATGTCCAGTTCTGCCATAATCTGTCTCTGCTCTTCTTGTGTGGCGTCCAATGCGATCACCTTCACCGCCATTATCACCTTGGATGGCTGGTGGAAAGTTCTGGAAGAAACCAGTTTTAAAACCCGGTCGGACGAACCACCAACAGGTTTCTAACCTGTACACAGTGCCTCCGTTTCCGTGACCGAGTATCTCCAGATACTGCAAGTCTTGTCTGGTGATCTGGTGGTGGAGGAATCACATGACTTGGTGTTTGAGATCACATGATGTCATGTGATCCGGTACCTGTCCCTCTGAGATGAGTTTGACCAGCGCCGTCTTCTCGTTGGCTCTTCTGAAACTCCCACTTCTGCTGTGCATGCTCTCACTGCACAAGGATATTTAAAAAAAGACAAAAGGACCCTCCTCCTTAAATATACACCAGTAGACACCTCTGTATAAAGGACACTTGGTTCTGCCCTCACAATAGTGAAATAATTATCACGAAGACACTTTCAATGTACCCCAAGGTGCGCCTTATTCACTGTAGCTAGGAACTGGTTGTGAACATCAAGTGAGGAAGGATACAGATATCACTTGAAAGAGGGAACTCTGGAAAGGGAGGAGATGGTCACCTGCTGCTAGGGTTAGATTTGCCAGCAGAAGTAAGTGGAGCTCTGGTGTTTACTTCCAAGTTGAGTTTATTCTTCTTTTTCTTGGCTTTGGAGAGAGGGGAGAGAAATCGAAGTGAAATTACGTGTACAATACACCGACAGTAGATTGAGCACTAGAATGGACTACAGAAGAGACAGTAGACTGGCAGTTGAATGAGCAGTAGACCATCCATGAACGAGTCGATAAAACATTCACGAAATTTTCATCCAAACCTTTAGGATATATACTGAGAGGGTGCGATCTGCCCGAGTGCCTGTTCCTCCAGTGACACTGTACACAAAAACAAACAATAACAACAACAAACAACAAAGAAACAAAAAACTCACAAACGATATCATTGCCGTCAGTTCTTCGTCGCTGCACACTGTGATTCTATCTCCATCTTCGTCTTCGTCTTTTCAACAAACAAAAACACAAACAAATTGTTAATTGTTGTTGTTTTGCTATTTCAAAATGGCTCACATTCGAAGGCAGTAGGAAGTGGATTCAATGCAGGCATGACTTGAGCCAGGACATCCTGTTGTAATTAATAATAATTATAATAATCTCGATAATCTGTGGTATGTAGCTAAATATGCATGCCCCTACTATCAAGACCCCATAATATACCGACTAAAAACCAAGTACATAATACCTATGACTAGGACAAATTGTAGGTCTAATATCGCTATATAGTCCGGTGACGTTCTCCGTAGAACACAGAGGTTTCGGTTGTCCCTAGCGAGTGGCCGGCTGGGAGGCGTGCGCGCGTTTCTGTCGCCAGCTCACCAGAACTGTTCTGAAGCTGACTTCCAGCGGCAGCACCCATTCCTTGCCGTCTATCCTTACCACCGCGGGAGGTACAGAGTTAGCCATAGAGCTCCACGTCCTCTCCGTCGCGGGGGCTTGTTTGTGTTCAATATTACAGGGATTTCGCTAAATATAAATACGGTCACACGTGTGTTTGGGTCAAAAGGTCGAATGGCTCTTCAGCGCATCCGTAGCTTTGCCTTTTCTTTCGTCCCCAAACATTGGCACAGATTGATTCTCACTCGCCAACTAAGACTGTGGGTTCCTCCTACATCCCCTGAACTCCTTCCAGATGTCGTGAAGGGGGCGGTAAGGGCGTCCAATGCGCGCGGAGATCAGTTATTTGTGTGTGATTGCCCCAGGTAACCAAGGTGACCAGGGGTGTCGGGTTCAGCGTTGGCTACTCTGACTCCAGCCCGTTGCTGTGGTTCTGGGGGGAAGACCCTCCAATCAGTGGAGGGGGGCGAGGGATGCTGGAGGAAGTTTCTTTACCAAGGGGTCAGCTCGTGAAGCAAGTGTCTGTGGGGAGAAGACATGTTGTGGTTCTCACCACCAGTGGTGAAGGTAAGCATTGCCTCGTTCAAAAATTGCCACCATCCTTTCCTTCTTGACCTATTTAGTATTTTCAATGGGGTTAAACTGCTTTGGACAGTGTGGCTTTCCCCTCTCCCCCTCTCCCTCCTCACCTGGCAATCTTCTTCCTCTACAACCTCTCCACACACCTTCCCCTGTTGTCAAGGTATATACACACCGCCAACCAGAGGTCAAAGTAACTAATTAAGATTTCTTCATATTTTCGGAGAAAAAATCTTGCCGTGCAACTTTAATGCTGTAATGGTATGTATTACAGGTGTGTTGTGGGTTAGACCACACCCACTTTCTCACCAGTGAGGGGCTTCTTTACAGCTGTGGCTGGTCAGATGATGGACAAACAGGTTTGAAACCCGTTTTTCTCCCTCCTTTTCTCCTCTGCCGTAATATTATTATGTTGTTGTTAGAGTGGTTTGTTTACAGGGACAGGTTGCCGTGGTAGTTTGGCCACACCCACCAGAGTGGCAGGTGATGTAATGACAGAGAGGGTGAGAGACGTTCAATGTTGTGCCGACACCTCTCTGGCCATTACTGGTGAGGCACAATTTGATAGAGGGAGACAAAGATATGATGTCATAATGACATAATTGCACAACAAGTCTTGTGCAACGTCAATTACCTGTGGGAATGACATAATCACAAAATTAAATTTGGCATGCTCAGTTTTCTCACGCTCATCTTTACCACCGTACATTTTAATGTTGCTCTGCAGAGTCGTCTGGTGGAATCTATGGCTGGGGGAACAACGAGTACAGGCAGCTACACATAGAGTCCAGTGACATGCAGGTCCAATTATAGATAGTGGGTTGTTAAAAGTTCTGTTTTCGATGCCTCCTTGATTTCGACTTGATTTCCTGTTCGTACTTCACCCAGATATGATGTATGCTTAGACGTGTGTCTGTCCTGTGCTGTAAAAATGCAGGTTTTCGAGCCGTGGAAAGTGAACCTACTCCCCAACCAATCAGACGCCGGGGAGGTGGTTGCCATGACAATAGGCTCCTCCTTCTCGGCAACGTTGACCGAACGTGGTGATATCTACGTGGCGGGGCGATTGGGAGGAAGAGAGAAGGGAGGGGAGGGGTGGGGCTTACTCCATGACTCGGGGAGTAGGAGCAACGAGGAGGTAGTTGATGTGAAGGCTGGACTGCACTACCTGGCCGCTCTAGTGAGGGAGGGCAAAGGTCACCAGCGATTGCTTCTCTGGGGTCGACATAGCACCAAAACTCCACCTTTGGCTGATCCACATGAGGTGTGTGTATACACCAGACATACAGTCATATCTGTGTACATTGAATTACCCCTGGAGTTCAGAATATAGAGTCCACTGCAGCTGCACATTGCTATAGTGCATGCAGTATCATTGACAGATATCAGTGAGCCATGTATAAATTTATCCGCCCAAACACCGTCTTCCCCTTTTGCCAGATGGAGCTACCGTCTTCCCATCCTGAGCTGGGACGCCGGTCCTCTTGACCTCTGTTTCGTGATGGAATGACATAATTATGACATCATACCGAATCAACCAATCACATCTCAGATTCATTAATTATTAACACACGCCAGAGTTATAGATTTCTTACGAATGAGATTGTTTATTTTCTGGACAAGTTGAGGTTCATTGTCTAGCAACTGTGCTCCTGGCTGGAACTCAAACCGGTTTCCAACCAGTTTTACGAGTTTGTCGTGCGGCAATTGCGACAGTGACAGTGCCAACAAATCTGTGTATTAAAGAAAACAAATTGTGCGCTGTAATTGATTATGGCAGTGCAAGTAAAGTTCTGAAAAAAGACCCTCGGAATTGGCCTGAATCAGGTGCTAAGGAGAGAGAGGAGAGGAGGGGGAGGAGAGAGAGAGGAGAGGAGAGAGGGAGGGACCTTTCCAGCGGAGAGTCATTTCCATGAGCTGTTTCTGGCCTATTTCCCTGCTGCCAATGGACATGCCCACTTTTAAAGGGTTAAACCCTATTGTCTGTGGGATTAATGAGTCACTGGGAGGAGGCGGCTGGGGTACGATGTATTCTGATTGGTTGTTGCCAGGCAACTGCTGCAGCATCTCAATGATGTAATCCTGTGAAAATGTACAATGCAGCTTCCTTGGTTGCCATGACTACTAACCCCAACCTTTCTAGCTTGAAGCCATTGATAGATGTAGCGAAGTGATTCTTGGGCTGAAAATTATAGATGTTGAAATGTTGAATAAGATTACACAATATTCACCTTGAGGAGAGTTCTCGAGCACATCTGCAACAACTTCATGTCCTAATTCCTTGTCGTCTGGAATGGAATCGGGACTGGATCCAGAGAGAGTGGAACCAAACGACTGCAGTCGCTTCTTAATGAGGGGCAGCCCCTCCTTTATTTCCTCGCATATGTGAGGAGGAAAAGCTGGGAGGGAGGGAGAAGTGAGAGGGAGAAGTGAGGCAGGATGAGAAATAGTAATCAGTCAGTTCTGAAACGTTACCATAACATGATGTGGTATATAAGCAGACGTATAATATAATAGGTCTGTCATTCGCGCCCATAAAATAGTTATTTTTTGCAAACGACATCTTGAGATATAATTATAGCAAAGTGTCTTCAGTACACTGAAAGTCCTCTTACAATCATTTCGGAATTTTTAGAGCAGAAAATGAGGAATTTAGGAAGGATAATTAGGTGAGCATATCACCTGTCAACAGAAATCCTGCCTAATTCGAGCCTGGGACAGTTTATCATCTGAAACATTCAGTTTCGATTTGAAGTCTGTTACCATATGCATAGAGTGTTAATGTGTTGCACTTGGTGCACCAATTAAGACTGAAAGTTCAGGTATGTCGTAGCAATTCACCAAAGGGTGTCTCATTTTTCATACTGAATGGTGGTGCGCTTTGAGTGTTTTCGTCTGAAATGTTTCAACTTTTCCACACCTCCCACACCTCCCTGTGTGTTCTGTTCTCTCTGCACTGTCTAACCCTCGGATGGCTTGCCAACGCTCATCCCACGGAATGCCGGGTTGGCTATTGTCCTCACACAAGTGGCAAACTAAGTGAATTATCACTCGGACAACGATAAACACTTTTGAAATGACAATTCTATACCTGCCAAGGCATTTCTATTGATGCCAGGCGGTAAAGAATGTTAATTGGTCGAAATTACGACATTCGGTCGAGACCGCATGTTGTTTACAGGTATGCGGCGGGTAAGAGTTATCGATTCACGGTCAATTGTCGCCCGGATTTTTCCCATCTCCACGCCGCATTCGAGCCTTTATCTGGTTTTGGCAGCGGTTTTCAGGCAGCTTCTACTTTCCCTCCCTCCCTCCCTCCTCCTACACATCTACTGTTGCAAACTGTCAACACCTCTTTGGATGTCTCAACAACTTGGTAGCGAGGTAGAAAGGCAATGCAAGGCAAACAAGTCAACTACCATGTACGACACATAGAGAAAGGTATATAGAACGCATCAACACGATGCCCATGTAACAATAGACCATGTGACATGCACAGGATTAGCTACGAGACACCTTATACAGCTGAAAACTCTGAATAAGGGACACCTTGAAATTGTCCTATATTCAGAGGTGTTCTTTATTTAGAACACACTCACGTATTAGTATGTGGAAGACCTAACGTAAAGGTAGAGGTCCTTTATTTTGATATTTTGACGTATACATTACTGATTTTAGAGGATTTTAGGACCCGTGTGTTTGGTCCTCGTTTTTCTACTTAGTGTCCGCAATAACAGATAGTTTGTTTACGAGGGTAAACAGTCATTTTCACTTTGGGTGTTGTGTTGATAATGTTAATTGACCATTACCGCTAATGCAGTTATGTGTAGTTTGTGAGGTATATACATCATAATACCCTAAAAACACACTATAATATATCCTCCAAGTATTCTACCACAGTTGGGATGCACAACAGCAGAGACAAAGAGCTAAAAACTTACCCGAAGAGTGAACTTCCGGGGTACTTAATTTCTGAAAAACGACAGAAAATTCGTGTAGCCTGTTTTTTCACAGCAACTTTAGGCCCTCACTTTCCCCCTAGCCACCAGTACAGATGTGACTAACTAACTAATAATGTCGCAATAGGAAATCCTCTGAGGGTGTTCTGATTTGAGCAGAAAAGTTGGTCCATGTGAGTCTCGAACTCACGACCTTGGCGTTATCAGCACCACGCTCTACCGACTGAGCTAATGGACCTCACTGGGTGTAGGTGTACATGTGAGATCCCCATTCCCTTTCGTTTATGAGAGGTTAATACAGATTTGCTTCGGGTCTTTAAACCAGCAGCATGCCTCTAGGTGTGCAATAACTAATATCTAAGCCCCCTTGTAAGTGATAAACGTACGTCTATGGTTTGTATCGGCTCCATTGAGGGCCCAAGAAACGAGGGAGAGAGAGAAGGAGAATTGTGTTTGGAGAAGAGGAGGGAGGGAGGAGGGAAGGGGAGAGGAGATCCAGGGGGCGATTATGGAGCCTATTGCCTGTGGAGAGGGAGAGAGAGAAGTAACAGAGAGGAAGTGTGGGTGTGGAAAGGACACGAGGGAGAAGGGGAGGAGAGAAAGGGGGAGGGAGTGTGGGAGTCAGGAAGGATTGGTGATCTAAGCTTTCTCCTTTACCGCACTCCCTCTCTCCCTCTCTCTCTCCCTCCCTCTCTCCCTCTAAGAAAACACACAATGTGGACGAACGAAAACACCAGTGCAATTCACGTCCATGCACTGTAAACAAAATCGGGGTTCAGTCACGGCACACCGGCAGGAATTACTGCTACTAAGTGTGCCCTGAATCAACACACATCCTCCCCCCTCTGGCCCCTTTCTTCCACCCGTATCTGTGTATGTGTTTCTCTAAAGGAGGCTACGTACACATGCACAATTGCCGGGAAATGGCCCTTCACACGAGAACGTGTGTACGGACAGAGGAAGAGCGAGGGAGGGCGGAATTCCACAATCTCCGAGATGAAACATTGTGTGCGAGCGCTGCGGTATACACACAAAGGCTGTTGTAGTTGATTAGAAAACCAATGTGCCCACATGAACAAAAGCAAGCTACCCACGCCCCGTGTAAAAGACAGTGTACTGTTGTGGCAGTGCGAATAGTGAACAGAATGTACTGGTAATGTCATTGGATTAACTGCGTGTTGTTTTTGGGAAATTGCCGAAATTTGTGCACACACACAATTTGCTAAAGAGGCCCGAGTTATCCATTAGGTCCGGAGCCAACAAACACTAATGAAAGATGCAAAAAGGCGTACGAGTTTAACAGAAAGTGCCGTTGAAAATGTAGACAATTTGTACAATATCAACAGGGTCTTGTAATCGTACAAGCGTTGCTGTAGAGACGAAGGTTAGGTGATTACAATAAACACAACGGCAAATACAAGAAGAACAGAAACGACGACATGGGTTGTAGCAACATGTACATCTCTGTACATGGACTTGTAGCAACATGTACATCTCTGTACAAGGACTTGTAGCAACATGTACATCTCTGTACAAGGACTTGTGGCAACATGTACATCTCTGTACAAGGACTTGTAGCAGAGAAACATGCGTTTGATCCTACAAACTGCCCTCACTTACCCCCTGGCACACGGGGTTTACTTTTCTACTACTCCAATAGTGATATTTGTGAAAACCTGTCAGAGAAAATCAGGTTCAATTTTTAGTACACTTAGATTACCATACCGTCTGGTGGAAAATTTTGTTCCTTGCCATGCCGACAACAATACAGTTGAATGAGGGTATTATGTACTTGATGTACAGTACTCCTTACTATATTGGGATTGGTGCACATACTTACATACCTAGGAAGCATCATAGATGTATGTAGGGATGGTAGGGTTTTTCTTTAACATAAGGCTTGAATAACCATGGTTATAGTACCCAGCATCATAGATGCACGAGGAGCTCGTGTTACAAGTTACCGATCCACCTGCTGTGAGTAGTACAGCAGTTAGTGATAATCACAAACAAACACATGTGGCTTTACACACACACACGCACACCTCTGCCAGTTTCGCTCCAGTTTCCACGCCGCTACTACCTGAAAGAGAAAAAAGTAGAGGTTGACACATGAGATTGCACAGCATACTACCCGGTGCACCATTATCTAATTTCACATTTAGCACGTGGTGTGTGTGCAGCTGAAGGAAATCAGTCTCCCCACAACCGAAAGACAAATGGTGTAAGTATACACAGACGCACTGCACTGGTCTTGCACGCCAATTGTAAATTGTTTTCGCCAAACTTAAATTCAACATGAGATCACTTGGAAGGCACAAACAACATCGATTACTATACGAGTTAGTATTAATGTTATTACAAGGTGTGCAATAACCAGTTTCGGTTGGCATGCTCGGTACATTTGGCAGTACGTGGAGCCAGACGGTGAACGGAGCACAATTTTGGAAACGGTGCCCTAATCGCTTTTGTTTACATTGGCTTTCCCAGGGTTGAGCGGGTGTCAAAATCCGTGCTTTGTGCGTGGTTGGATGGTGGCTGTTTTCCCCCCAATGCGTTTGTCTAATACTTTCACATCTGCATTCACTTGTTGATCTAACCTCTTTAGAGCGTTATAATTTAGTGCAATGGTAAGTTAACTAAGAGCGTAAGTCCGTGTAAGAGAAGTATGTATATATTACATGTACCCATAATACCTGGTGGCATGTGTGAGAGGGCAAAGGTTACGGGAGGAGGTAGTTGAGTGAGGACACACTCTAACACGTCCAAAAGTTTCAGAATGTGGTCTGGTGATGAAGAGAGGGAGGAGAGGGAGGAGAGAGAGAGGGGGGGGAACATCGTATGGTTGATTGAGATCTGACACACCTGAAACTTTCGTAACACGAGAAGAGTCTGTTGACACGGAACAGAAATCAGTGGTAGTTTCGCTAGTCGACGTTCTCTCGCTGCCGCATAGCTCGCCGGCGACTCCCACAACCCACCAGGCCACACACCTGATTCAGAAAAAGAGGTGAAAACCAGACGACACGTCTGATAGGGATACGATGAAAAGAGAAAAAAACGGCGATCCCGTGTGATGCCCCATCTCAAGGACAGAGAGCTGAAAGCTGGGGCTCTCAGCCGTACAAATTGAGTCCGAAAGGGCGCAAATGATGCCCTCCATTTACTCACCTCTGTAGAGTTTCTTTCACGGCGTGTCCCAGCCACTCAGCGCGACACACCATCTGCAAAAACAGTCAGACGCGCACGGAAGAAGTCCGTGGTGAAAAAACACCACCGACAAATTTCCCCCATTGTGCCAGCGTTTTCCGCCGCTCGTATTAACACAAGTGTTAAACATACCTGAAAATTGTCTTCTGGAGTGTCCTCCGTTGTCCTGCAAAGAGCGTATGTACACCGAAATCTGGTTTCAGTCGTTCGTTCAAACACGACCGCTACATTTCTACATTCTAGGCGATTGACAATGAATATGCAGCAAATGGCACACTACATGTCCATTAATGCTCTCCTTCTTTTATCCTTTTCCGATTGTCTTGACTGTAGATATTTGCACTTAGGCTCTAGCTAGAGCAGACGATCACTCACCCCCCTGCTTCCCCTATAGGTTTTTACATGCATTGACTTTTGGGAGTTAATGTGTGCAAGTGGTCGGCAAGTCCCCCCTCCCCTCCCTCTCCTTCTAGCTACCTAATGTAACCTACCCTTTACTCCGGTTGAGAAGTGAGATGGTCTCGGCAAGCAGTCTTGGTTCACCCATACAATGAGACAAAACTCGAAAGACGTGATCCACGAATATTTCATCAGAGTCTTCAGAGGTTTCAGTTGGCCCCCGCCCTTTCCGGATTTGTTTGTGTGTTGTCGCCATGGAGATCAGAAGAAACGGGATTCTTTCTCGTCTAAGCAGAAACTAAAAAAAACGGATGAATACACATTTCCAAAGGTTGTTTTCTTACTTTTATGAGTAGATGCCAGGATGGGTATGGGAATGAGACGAAATTTTTGAAAATTCGAACAGCATCATCTGTAATTCCATTGGACGTTGCCTGGATACCAGAGTGGGTCAGGTCGACGTATTGCAGCCATTGTGGGTGTGTTTTGTGGGAGTGGTGAGGGGGTGGAGAAATGGGTGTGGCTTCGAGAGAGGTGGACAGGAGTGAGAGGGGAGAAGTGACGACGGAGAGTGTGTGGAGGAGCGACAGGCAGCTGCTAGCGAGCACGGGGATATAGGAGGGGGAGGAGGGGGATGGGGAGGAGACGTATGGCAGAAAGTTTTCCACCGCTAGAAGCACAAATAAAATATCAGCCCTGAAAGAAAGAAAATACGGGTTGAAAATGAAAACCAAACTCATATTATTGCACCCTGAAAAACAAAGACCGGGACAACATTCGCAGTCAAGGCGCACTGGACCAGGAAAAACATTGCACGCACGGCTGTTGGATAGATACAGAAACTGGTGAAATATGCCTACGCACACACAAATATCACCAGCGCTACTTTCATTCTCGCGGAAAACTATACGCCTACCCCCACTCACCCACAAGACCATGCTCTTACTTGACCCGTTTCCCTACATGTACTGTATCACTAACAGCAGTGAAAAACAGATGTAAACAGGCATTAGGTTGACGGCTGGGAGTAAGGCAAGAAGTGCACCTCCCACGATCGAGAAACCACGTGTGACGTACATACACATCAGATTCTCTCTCCCTCTCTCTCTTTGTCTGCCTCTCGTGCCAACACACACACACAAATGCAGCTGAATTGGTATTCAGTGAGGGTATTAAGTACTGTGGGGAGGAGTATAATTATAGGAAAGCCTCACTGTGGACAAGATGCCAACGTGAGCGTGTGCAAGTGAACATGAATGGAAGAGTGGGGGCGGCTTTTTCGGGTTGAAAGACAAGAAATATGCAATTACGACTTCACATCAACTTGCTCCCTTTACACCAGTGTTTTCAATGCATGTGTTCGTACGTACGTGCGTGTGACCACACAGTGTTCAGATGGCTTGTCGAGGTCGTCTTTGTTAGAGCTAATTGGATTAATCCGGCCTACCTACTGTTATGCATTCCCTCCCTCCCTCCCTCCTTCGTGAGTAGCCCATCAATGAAAAGACAGACATGGACTCTCTCAATGGGAACCTATGGGAAAACAAACCAGGGATCTATTCTTGGAACACAGACCTCGACCTGATTAGCAATACAACCCCCATCACACGTGCACACACACACACTTGCACACACACTCAACCCTGTCACTCTGTTACCTTCTTTCTCCTTATTTCCCTTCCTTATGTTTCTTCACCATCACACGTGCACACACACACACACACACACTCACCTCAGTTGTCCAGTTCTTCCAAAGGAAGGTGTGACTTGCGCGTAACGGTGACCGAGAAAGGCAACCGAGTCACAGAGCACGTCTCGCAGAATTCTCACCATCACCCTTCCTCCCCCTCCTCCCCCTCCACCCACCTCCCACAGGTCGCCACGGAGACCACATAGGTGGTAGTGCCACATTTGAAGCGAGAGGGAGCACCTTTCGCCCTATACAGTCACGTTTGCGTGCATGCGTTCGTGACACACCAGTTTCAGAAATGTTCAAACTTTCTTTCGGAAACCATTATGTATGTAAACACGATGATTGCAGGAAACACTATAATATATGTTCTAACAGTGTGTTTAAGACCCCCAAACCACAGCCAAGGCATATATACAAACATTTATTTGGGTCTTTCAACATAGAAAATGAAGGTTTTTTTTATTGGATTCACAGAAAAAACGGTCTATTTACAGACGTGTAATAGAATCAAGTGCACACACTACATATGTATGTGGACCAGATTCTCGGAAAATGTCGTGATGGTGCTAATTGCCGTGATCACTTGCCAGGACTTACAAAAACACAATCCCATCAGGACACATTGTGTCGTTACAACAAGAAGATATTGGGTAGCCGTAGCAACCTAGATGTAAATCGAAGCAGACAGCACGGAAATAATATTCTACAAAATTTCAACCATCGAGGAATCACAGTTCTTCTCAAAGTATACAAGGAAGAAAGAATTAAAGGGAACATGATACCAACATTATCGACAGGAAAACTACAAGCGAGGTAACCAGAAAAACATGATTTGAGGTGATAACCAGGACAGGGGTGAACAGAGGCTACGAGATTGGTTTGTAGTCGGGGACACAATCCTGAGATGAACCAACACCTCGCCCTTGACCACAGACTACCGGCTCCACCTCAAATGTACCATTCTCTGCATCGGTTCCACAGACCACAAGAATAATGCGTGTAAAACACAGTGTTGTGCTACAACTGTAGTCGATACGCACTTTCCTTGCGTCGATTTAATATAACTTTGCACGGTCATAATAGTGCCGTGCTCAGACTTTATTACAAGATTGGCTCTTTTATAATGTGGGGGGTACTGCTTTTAACCGATGCACGGAGGAAAAAATACCAGGACCACTTTGTTTTATGGTGGGGCCGTGAAATAGAAGACACGCCTGTGTGTGTGTGTGTGTGGTGTGTGTGTGTGTGTGTGTGTGTGTGTGTGTGTGTGTGTGTGACCACTTGAGAATGTGTGTGTACCTGCGGTTGCTAAGGAACTTGTGTGTTTGCAGGGGGCTTGAATTACGAATGGAACTTTGATAGCTAAGGCTTCCTCGGGTAATCAATCCCATGCCATTAATGACCATATTTGTGTCCACTCGTAATTCCGTTGTTGACAAGATTATCCCACAATGGGATATGTGTGTACGTTCATGTGCAAGGCAGTCGATGACACGCGCGTGACGTTTTCAAGCCTTTGGGAAAAATCACGCTGCCGAGGTATACGTAAAATGCTTTTTAAAATCCGACACATGCTGTAAAATTCGATGGTTGTTGTTTGCACAGACCTCGAGGTAGGGTTGAGGTTGGTTCCAATCTCCGGCGTCCGAGTCCTGGAGAATGGAGTAGCGGAGGAGACTGGTGTGGTGGGAAATGACGTGGGTTCCGAGGGTGTCTGCAAACTGCGTGACTTCTTCCAGTAGACTAAAGAACAGTAGCCCACTGTGCAGTGTGTGTGTGTGTGTGTGTGCGTGCGTGCGTGTGTGTGTGTGTGTGTGTGTTCACATTTGGAGTTGGAGAGAAGGAAAGAATGGTTTTATGGAGTAAAAAATGCCGGAAAAGTGATACAGAAACAATTTCGTTGGCCACAAATGTTTTTTCGCGTGGTTAGACAAACGAACTTTTCCACGGGCGAATATGCCCAAAAGTGTAGCTACATTTCACACATTCACATAAGGTCATAATGGTTGTTAATGGGAGTGCCACAGTCACAACATCAGCCATTCAAAGTCGATGAAATCCCTCTTCGACAGAATACCGACACATTAGTGGTCATAGCAACAAAAATGTTAGGCAGCAAAATCGGGCGTGACAGCTGCCTTCTCTCACTGCGTATCCTCACCCTGGCCTTCTTCTTTCCCCCGTTACCTGCTATCAAATACCTAACCGGGTATTCCTCGTGGCAATTAATTAATTTGTTTGTGGAAGCCACGCAAACGGTGTATACAGTTGTACAGTGTGTGCATTTTTGACGAGCGGTTGCTCATGAATTGGCCATTAGCGCAAGCTGAAGTGGCAGAGTGGGTGGTAGGCTGGTCCGAACGTGGAATGTCTTGATTTCACAGAGATTTCGTGGACGGCTACGATCACGTCTCAGATGGTGTACATAGTTGTCAACAGAATGCACACACTAATTGCAGTGCCCCTGTCATTATTGGCTGTCATTATTGGCTGTCAGAACTTAGCAAAAACAGTTCACTCATATAAACGTAGGTTTAGCACGCAAGTCTGCATGTACATACATACATACATACAATCGGAGCATACAAGAATTACGGTCTTAAAATCTCTCGTTGAAAACTTACTAATTCCCTGATGGGTTGAGTATGGACTGGAGACAGGTGAGCATGGAATGGAGACAGATAGCGGAATTGATCGCAACGTACCACAACCTTGGAGGAGCGCATTTGGGTACCAGCTCAACAACCTGAAACAGGGGACAAAATCAACGGTCGTAACATGATTCCACAGGTGTTCTGCCTAGCTCATACTGGTAGCATTGTCACGTTGCATATGGATATAATGACCTCGGAAAAGTTGTACGATATAGGCTCTTTGCCGAAAGAGAAAAAGTTTTTACTGAAAGAGAAATAACTAGGAATTTGGTGACCTGGGAGAGGTTTTTCAAGTGAAGGTTGGCCATTCGCAGAATGGTCTCGAGACAGGATCTGCGCACCGTCCCCACTCTGTTCCACGGAACGAGAACGGAACCAAACAGAAAGAGAGATGAATCCAGATAGCTCCCGCTCTGAGGGGCAGGGGAAAAGGAGAGAAGCACTTGTTTCACATTCACAATCGGACGCTGTTGCCCGCGCGACGCGATTTGCACCGCACGTACAAACACCGGGATACACAGTGTGGGAATTCACTACACATTCCTGACACTACTCAGGTCAAGTCACCGTGAAACCCCCCGAGCCCCTTTATTACTCTCACCACTCATTACAGGAGGCCCGAAGATCCAAACACAATATCATACATGTGGTGTTGCATTGCAGTATTGTATGACGCACCCCCCCTATGCTTTAGAGACCTTAGTTTGAGGTTGCTATTACACCCGTACTATGGACTATAGCTATGGGAAGTAGTACCGTGAATCCACATGCTTCATTCATTTCCTGAATGCCTCAAATTAAACACTGGTGGCAACTCTCCGTTTTCCTTTATTCCCGAGAAGTTCTCACCCACTCTGGAAGACACGGGTACATTTGCACTATCAAATGTCGTGCATTTGCACCCGTCTCAAGCTGCGTTTGATGGCCAGTCACTCGTTTGTTCACGCACCAAAACCATTTTGTATACACAGAATCAACCACTCTCTTCAGTCAGAGCTTCAGTCGCTCCATAATTGAGAGTGCAGATTACACACAAACCCAAGTGCTTACGTGTTTAATAAATTCACCCTCACCTACACAGAGCTATTGAAGTTTTAGAGAAAATTAACACGAGATCTTTTGTGTGTCCTTGCAGGCTAGCTGGTAATTATAAAGAGGAAACACTCCGCCACTAGCTCGCAGCTCAAAAGCATGAATAGGACTCTTTGAATGAACACACAGCGATATCGCTTTCAATTAGCCACCTACAGAGGTTTGGGTGACTGTTTCTTTGAGTGACGCTCAAGTTTGGGTAGTTTGATCGTCTGGATTTGTGGGTCACGTTACGCACACATGGAACACACCGTCTACTTGTGAGGCAGATTTGCAACTCAATACTCCTTTGTCTGCGAGGATTACTGCGTGTTACAACAAGTGCTACGCCGCATGATAAAAAAACATGTTACTGTTTATTCTTCCCTCCGGGCGTGTTGGAACACTTTGTCCATTTAGAAAATCTCGTTTTGTTGATTTTTAGAGATTTTAGTGCATCGTTTGTACACAGATATTGATAGACCCACCTTTAGAATTAGTCCGGTGCCATCTTTATTTATGGTTGGGATCTCCGGAGAATTTTGCAATGTGTCCTTATCGCTATTCCACCACTGTTGATAAACAGCGTGCAGGGTTTGTGGAAAGGAGCGAGATAATGTAATGGCGAGTTTATTTGAGGCGTTTTGACACAGAAATTCTGTGTGGGACGTTGGTGCAGTCGTGTCTTGTGCAACTTCGTGAATTGTGACTAGTAGGACTAGGTGCTCGAGACATCTGCACCAAATAGTGTGCACCTCGTCGCCTCGAGTCCCGTCCGAAATCGGGTCGACCCGATCCGCAAACCGGTCGATGTGAGCCGACCAGAAACGCTCCACGAACTGTAGCAGAAATCGGCTTTCCCGTCCGTTCAGCCAACACACGCAGCTGCGCCCTGCGGCCAGCGCGGTCGCCAGGAGCTGGCAACAGACGGCCGCGAAATGGCGACACTCGCAGACCAAACTCAGCAGTGTTTGCCGCCGTTCCTCGCCAACATCTCGGACAGTCTCCCGACACAGCTGCCAAACTGACTCCCACCTCTCCCCCACCCTTTTCTCCCACCACTCCGGCCCCTCTCCCACTCCCCTACCACCTCGTTCAGGCTCCCTCTCGTCGCACGTGGGATGGCGGCACTTTTCCAGCGCCAGGTGCAGCTGTTCAAGAAGGCCCGCTAGCAGCTCCTCGCTCGCCGTTTCCCCGCCTCTCTCCCGACTTAGCCGCTCGAGTACCACGCACGTTCCACAGAGGTAGAGCGTTCCATCCTCGCCAACAGAAGAAACCACTAGCCTTAGCAGGTCTCCTAGCTGCTTTGCAACCGCCATTACGATACGAGCCCCGCCCACGATGTGAGCTCTGGTGTGTCGTAGCGCATGCGCTAGTTGTCTTAGCGCATGCGTTTACCCGCGCCGCGCGGGGACCACACACGCGCATTGATATCAAAAACGGGTGGAATTTTATTGCAGCGAGGCCCAGGTGTTTTTGCAAGCCGCATATTTAATCGGCTTTTGTTATAGTACATCGTCTATTGGATATCGTAAAAGCGACGGATTCTATCGCCGCAGTAAAAATCCGCAAGGAGGCCCCTCGCCTTCAGAAAGTGTGATCATCAGCTGGATTCGGAGGATATCGCGGAGAGGAAAAAAAACTGCAGGAAGGCGAAAGAGTCCGTGGCAGAGAGCAAGCTAAACAAACCGAGAACAAAGGTGAGCGCCTGTGTGCGCGTTTGCGGGCACCGCTGCTCAGGCGGTCACCTGCATTGTTCTGCACCAGGGGAAGAACGGAGAAAGCTACGGAGAGAGACTAGCTACGTAGCTACCAGCGACGTTCGTTTGCTGCGCCGTTCGGTACAAGTGCGCCCAAGCTAAGTGGAGAGCTCTCCGAGCTGTCTCGCCATGCTAGCAAACTAACTAGCGACTTTGTTTCAGAGAAGACGACAGCGTGCCTGACGCCTAATGGACGCGTGCCTGCCTGCAGCACGCGAAGTCGTAATGTTGTTTCATGAAACGAAGCAGCAGCATGCATGATGTTGCTAGTCCAGCTCGCTAGAGCTCAGGCGAAAATATCTAGCTAGAAAGTAGACTTTGCTGCGAGCATGCTGCAAAACAGAAACAAACGGACTCGCTACATGTCTTCGTTCATTCGCATGCAGATCTACCAGCTAAAACAGTATGTGCGATATCACGTCTCCATGCAAATGTTCAGAGAGGATTCAATAGCTATACACTAGCAAGGGATGTCCTAGCAAGCACTTTGCGTTTCTTTCAGCTGCTTTCCGCGTGTCCTCTAGCGCAACCATAATCTTTATGTGGCCAATTATACATTTCACAGCTTTTTTCTTTTTTGCAACCTTCTTTTGCAGGAGAAGGCGTATTGCAGCTGCCCACTAGCACCCCTGTCCCACTGATTGCTATGCTGGACCGAGGAGTCCTGACAATGAACGGCGCCCGAGCAGCAGGACAGCGATCACCACCACCTTCCGAAGACATCACTGAAGCCTCCGACCTCCTGTCTAACCCATCGTATGACATAATCACGGAGGACGTGGGCCGGTTTACAACTCAGTACTACCACACGGTGGAGCCCTCTGAGGGTATCCTCAGTCCCAAAGACGGTGCTGGGTCGAGCTCGGACTCCTCCAGCAGCGGGCGAAGCAAAACTTCTTCCACCTCGTCCGACGAAGGCGGGCACCATCATCGAAAGAGGGACCAGACTTCCCCGCCGTCTGAGGATGTCCGTTCGTCGTCGTCCCTGCCGACAACGCTGGAGTATGTGGTCCCAGCGTTGCAGCAGAAGGTTGCAGTGTCGGTGTGCGGGAGTGTGTCGGGGCAAGGAGCTGGGGGAGGGGAGGGTACCTCGGTGAAACATTGGAGCTATGAGGAGCAGTTCAAACAGGTCCGTACCTACTCTCTCTGTCTCTCCATTTAGTGTCTCAACGGCAAAAATCTTTCTTTGTCAAAAAAAACCTGCTTTCTCCCTCTCTGTCTGAAACAAAATGCATCTCAACTCGCTCTCTTTCTCGATCCCTTCTAAAACTAAAATGCTTTCCTCTTCCTCCCATTCTCGACTAAAATTTATTGTCCCATCCGTGACTTTCATAACCAAATTTGTGTGTGGAAGACTTGTCTTTGCTGAATGTGCAGCTAACAAAACCTCAAAAAGGTCCTTGTTTTCTAAACTCTCAATGATGTGATATGCCATCTTGGTGTGTGTGTGTGTGTGACTGCAGATCTATCTGCTGGTTTACCGTTTGACACGGCACCTGTCTAAATCACGTGTTTTATCCTCGATAAAGTTTCCAAAACGGGAGGGGATTTTTCAAATGCTATCGCATGGTGAAACTAATAAAAGTGACCAAATTTACAAAATCTACTGTGAGATTCCATTGGTTTTGGCACTGTTTGTGGTCGGGCTGCAAAACCCATTGAAAGACTTGTGCTAATTACTAACAAGAGTGCAGTTCAGCCAATCAACCAATTTCAGTGGTGTTGCGAAATTCCATTCCGACGATCTAATTAACAGTTGGTTTTTTTGTCCCCTTTCAGTTTGGATTAAAACCCCCGAGATGATCACAGTGCACTTACCGAAAAACAGTTTATGACATCACAAACAACACTGTCTTTTGTTTCCGCAATTAGTAAACCACCCCAGCTGCGTTCCTTTGCCGGTTGCTGTTACCTAGGTTGCCGTTACCTAGGTCACCCATAATTGAGCCCGGAAGAACTAGTGTAGATTCCACGGCGAAGCAGTGTCTGAAGTGTCAATGGTACTTGGCATGGATGGATAATTGTACGCATGCACTTTTGTAGCTACCACAGAGGAGCTGTATTTGGAGGAATTGAGTTCGTTGGTTTCAACACGTGTTCCCTTTCTCTTTCCTCCGCTTCCTCCCTCCCTCCCTCACTTCTCTCTCTTTCCCTCTGTCTCCCTTTCCCTTTCTTTCTCTCCCTCCTTCTCTTCTATTCCCTCTCTCCTCCCTCTCTCCTCCCTCTCTTCAACCCAGCTCTACAATCTCTCTGCCGAACCAGAAAGGAAAGAATTCCTCGACAAACTCTTTGACTACATGCAGAAGAAAGGTGGGTGGGCGAATGCTCCTCTATTGAAAAGTGTGAAATTATATCTGAATGTGGTCATTATCGACAGTCATTGAAGCTCTCGTAGATGTTAATTGTGTCTTTGGTCTGTTAAATCGGCTTCAGTCGCCTCACAATGGCCGTCACTATGCAACACGCAGCAGACTCACTCGCTGACTTAATCGCGCGTACAAACCGGACAATCGGGTAATTACCGGTTGAGCGAGAATCCGGTGACGCACACGACAGTGATAAACGATGCTCCATTGAACGGCAGCTTTTCAGCGGGCACCCCAATTGCACAATTAATTGACACCGCGTCGTGCCTTGCAACAAATTTGTCCCATTCACGGAGACTGTGTTTAGACTGGGCTAAATAATTGACGCGATGCGCATCTCATCCGTGGGCTATAATACACGATATGACATGCCCCTGTATAAAATATGGTGTCCACACACGCGACACGCTGACAGCGTTGTGAAATCGATGTATATTGCGCACGCAGGATCACCGAGTTCAAGAAGTGTTTGCAAGTGACAAATGTTTTGTGTTAATGTTGTTTACTTTCCTGTCTGTTTACAATGTGTGTGTGTATCCGTGTCCATGCAGGGAGCCCGATTACCAGAGTCCCTATCATGGCCAAGCAACCCCTCGATCTCTACCGACTGTTCAAGTTGGTAGTGGAAAGAGGTGGCCTAGTCGAGGTAAAATATTTAGCATTATTGGTGGACAAACACAACGCAAATTGTTGTTTTATGCATAATTATAATAATAGTAGTTAGAATAATGCAAAGTATCAAAGTGGTGTGGGCAGCCTCATTTGTTTCTTCTTCCTCGTTGGAGGAGGGTTAACGTCCGTAGGAAACCCGATGGTTTCACTCCATGAGTAAATACCTTTCCCCTACCATCGATCGCCGTGACAACAGAGGACCATACGTGACCACCGTAAACACGAAGATAAATAAACAGCCTCTGACTTGAAGGGGTTCCTTTATAGCGAAACGGAAAGTCACTGTGAACTGACTAAAGAAAAGTCAAAACAATAATACATACAGTAAACTGGTCCGTGTTTTTGAAGCTGGAAATATTTACAATATGAACAACCGTTTTCCATTTCAGGTGATCAAGAAAAAGGCTTGGAGAGCAGTGGCAAAAGAGTTAAATCTCCCCGCATCCATCACCAGTGCAGCCTTCACCATGAGATCACAGTGAGTCCGATTCCCACACTTCCGTTCCAATTACTCCAAGATTCAAACCCATATACCACCACTCAACCTTCTACAAATTGTGCGCATCCAAAATTATTTCAAAATTTACGTCACCTTAAAAGAAAAAAATTTTGAACTTCCTAAATTATTAATGCTGCATTTATATACCCGCTTTTGTAGGTATGTCAAGTATCTGTATCCGTTTGAGTGTGAGATGGAGAATCTGTCAGACCCTCAAGAACTCCAGGTTGCCATCGACAGCCACAAGCGAGACCGTCGTCAGAGCGACGCGGCCGAGTTCATGCACCAGCCGCTGGGGGCGGGACGAACTACCCTCGAGAGCCTCACGCCCGTCACCAACACAATCACTCACACTCCACAGGGCATTCAGATACTCAGTTCGCCCACCATGGCTCTTCCTCACGGCGCCATCCCTCCCTACTCGGGCAGCTTCATCGTCACGGGGCCCGGGGGGACCCAGATGGTGACCCCCCAGATGTCTGGGCCCCCGCAATTAGTCCAAATGACGGCAACCCACCACGGAATTCCCATAATGGTCCCGGCTCTTGCCCCCGGGAAGCCAGCTGATCTGGGGGCCATGCAGCAGCAACAGCAGCAAGGGGAAGACCGCGATGACGTCAGTTCACAGGCTTCCTCCGAGGCATCTGATCGCGAGAACTCGGCCCCGCCCACCAAGAGGGTTGCCTTGGATATTGGCGGGAGGATTGTAGCGGCGACGAGGATCCATCCAGGGGCGACTGCAGGATTCATGATGACACCCACAAGGCACATGGTCCCAACTTCACACTTCGCCTCTCCACACGTCATCCAGATGGGGCCCAACTCACACATCCCGGTCGTCATGCCGACCTCCACGGCAACGGGGTTTATGTCCCAGACATCGTCGCCTGTGGATACGGGGGTCAGTAACGGGTTAGTCTTCAAGGACGACTCCTCATCCCGCCGTTCTCCCCTGGAGAATGGCGCATGTTCCCCCCACCTGCTTGTGTCAGGCGCCGGCTCAGCTAAACCCACTCAAGTGGTCTCTGCGTCCCATCTTCTTCACATGACCTCTCCTCGTCATCCCACCGTCCCTCTCGTTCTACCCACTAACGCCATCACCCTCGGACATCACCACGGCAACAGCAGTAAACACCGTTCGAGCCAGTCCTCTTCTTCCTCAAACCCTTCCGTCAACCACACCCACCCGTCGTCAACGGCAACCGATAAATCCCACCACAGCAAGCACAACGGTGGGGCCCTGTCAACGGCTGGGTCCACTTCACTTAAAATGCCCTTCGCAAATATCGCCATTCAGTCGGGTACGTTGGGTACCTATCCATACGTCACACCTTTTAATCCACACAACTTGATACTGTAAAACGGGGAACTTTGAGGGGAAAAACTTTTGCAATTTTTAGAGGCAAACCCTCAATATATTTTAGTGGGTAATTAGTCTAGTCCCGAATGTTTCCATGAACCTCCTTTCTCGATAGGAGTATATTGAGCTGGTGGTGTCCCAATAGAAAATACACCGAGGACAGATTTTTCCTGCCCTGCGTGGGGCGGACCCGTGGAGCTAGTCTTTAACCACGTAACTACGTAACGTAGGCAACTTCAGGGCTCTACTTTGAGCCAATTAGGAACTTTGGGCAGCTTTGTCTTGTGGCTGGTAGTGCGTTGGCGTGAATCGAACTAACGCCACTTAATCTCATTTTTAATTTGGCCGCTACCCGAGTTAATAGCGACACGAATAGCGCGCCTAATTGAACAATTGGTAGTGCCAGATTGGACTTGGCATTCTTACGGTCACACCCACTAGATGTTACCCTGGCGACGAAGCTGATGATAATATCCCTCTATTGATCAGGTTGGTGGCATAGCAACTCCCAAAGCCTGTTAAATACCTGTAGCATTTTCTGTCGTGGTACATTCAGTCTTAATGGGAGGGGTGGACCTACATGATACTGACATTTAAGACCACAATAAAATTACTACACTTTCTTGGAAGACGATTGTGCATAAACCAGTTCTCTCTCTCTCTCTCTCTCTCTCTCTCTCTCTGCTCTCTCTCTCTCTCTGCTCTCTGCTCATTTTCTGTCGTGGTACATTCAGTCTTAATGGGAGGGGTGGACCTACATGATACTGACATTTAAGACCACAATAAAATTACTACACTTTCTTGGAAGACGATTGTGCATAAACCAGTTCTCTCTCTCTCTCTCTCTCTCTCTCTCCTCTCTCTGCTCTCTCTCTCTCTCTGCTCTCTGCTCATTTTCTGTCGTGGTACATTCAGTCTTAATGGGAGGGGTGGACCTACATGATACTGACATTTAAGACCACAATAAAATTACTACACTTTCTTGGAAGACGATTGTGCATAAACCAGTTCTCTCTCTCTCTCTCTCTCTCTCTCTCTCTGCTCTCTCTCTCTCTCTGCTCTCTGCTCATTTTCTGTCGTGGTACATTCAGTCTTAATGGGAGGGGTGGACCTACATGATACTGACATTTAAGACCTCAATAAAATTACTACACTTCTTGGAAGACGATTGTGCATAAACCAGTTCTCTCTCTCTCTCTCTCTCTCTCTCTCTCTGCTCTCTCTCTCTCTCTGCTCTCTGCTCATTTTCTGTCGTGGTACATTCAGTCTTAATGGGAGGGGTGGACCTACATGATACTGACATTTAAGACCACAATAAAATTACTACACTTTCTTGGAAGACGATTGTGCATAAACCAGTTCTCTCTCTCTCTCTCTCTCTCTCTCCCTCTCCTCCCTCTCCTTCTCCCTCCTCTCCTCTCTCTCTCTCTTTCCCTCTCTCTTCTCTCTCTCTCTCCTTCTCTCCTCTCCCTCCCTCTCTCTTCTCTTTCTCCTCCTCTCCTTCCCAGTAACTCACATACCCTACCCTTTGATCTTATAAAAACTCTGAATTTGCCAAAGATAGGTTAAAATGACCTTACTGACTGACAACCTCACCTTTAGTTGTAGTGAAAGCTCTTTGTTGAACTAACCACAAAGAGTTGTTAATTGAAGGTGATAAATCTCATGCCCATTCAACCTCTATTGTCATGTGACAGTTGTGTCTAATCAGCGCATTGGGCATTTGTGGTGGCACAATTAACACACTTTTGGACCAGTTGGACTATCAGGAATTGACTGCTTTGAATGGCTTCATTAGGTGGTGGAATTCCTATCCCATTATACAATTAGGTGACCATGGCAACCATTGTTGCTATATATACAAATCATCTTGATATTACACTTGCCACAATGTTGATTGGCATCTGCTTATCTGCAGCGCTATCTGAAATTTTAACCTACCCTTGCCACAATTTTTCTATGGACATCCCCAGTGATGTGATAGGTCACCAAATTGTCTAATCTAGTTAGAGCACACCGGGCCTCTGCAGGTAAACAGGGCCTAATTAAATCTGTTAAAATGTGGGAAATGTTGTAATTTTCATTGTTGTTTTGTTGTGTTGGCAGTGTGTGGCTTGTAAGGATAGTATAATGAAATCAGGAAAGTTCCAATTGGGGTATTGTTTTTTGTTGTTAGTGGGCTGGAGAGGCCAGCTAGTTTGGGGTAAAATGGAGTAAAGTCACCCCACCCCACCCCACCCAAACGTGACTGTCCACACCACCTCTTTTTGCCTATTTTTTTCTTATACTTGAACTGAAAGCTATGCCAATGGCAGAGAGAATCTCTTCCCAGTTTAGTATGATATATTTAAAAATTGACTCCCCTCTCCCTCCCTCCTCCCTCCAGCTAACAAGGACGGCGAAAACGGGGACTCAACTCTCCTAGTGACTCTCGAAATCAACGATACCGTATTTCAGGGGGTCCTCTTTGCAAAACCACACCCCACCAGTTCCCCGTCCAGGTAAAATTTAGCCCCGCCCCCCCCTCATCACCACCACCACCACCCTTCAGCCACCATTTTCTACTTTTAAAAACTCACTCGCTGGCTCACCTGTATCACCAACTGACTTTTTCCTTCATCTTTATTGCAAGATATACTCGAGCATTTAATTGTGCACTTACTCGGATAGCTTTCCCATTTAATTAGTATTTCCTACTTCTTGTATGTGCCGTCATTCAAAATTTATAATTAGTCGTGTAATCTCGTTTTTGCACTTATTTTCATCCGTTCTCAAATTTAAATCCGTGTGAAATAATTATAATCTTTCGGTTTCGTAACTCGTAAATGTTATTGTCTGAGATTTTCACGGGTAAACAAATTTCAAGAAGAGCGTGTGAAGTTTACAAATGAAATAACGTAAACGGTCAACAACAAAGGTGAAATATTCAATCGAATGTAAACAGGCGTTGTTTTGGGAGCGAAGATAACGTTGCTAATTCCAAGAAGACGTACTACGTAAAGAGCATCGCAATTTCACTTTCAAAGTCATGCTTATCTCATTGCATTAATACCAAATGCTCATGTGTGCTGAGCAAACATTAGATTTTATCGAAAAACGTTTTTGGTGTGAGTTGGGTCTCATGTAACACACTTGCATACGTAGTGCAAATAAATTTGATACTGACTTTGAGCCTATAGCCCATGGAACACCATTGTTACCCCACTTACTACAAATTTCACTTAGCCACCGTGAACAAGTTTTTTTAGGTCCACAGACTTTGTTGTCATCACTGTATATACTTTCGACACTTCTTTTGCTCATAGTTTTAGTCGATTCTCAATATGAATGTACCGTAACATCATAGAGGTAGGGACTACGATAGGGAATTCCTTAACCTGTGTCTGTAATGTGTAGACAGCGACCTATAATGTGACTTTATGTGAGGTCTTAATTCGGCTTTGAAGCCAGCTCATTGACACACATCTTGCCAACCCAGCCACCTACATACGATACTACCATTATTTACGAGTGTGTATAATCACTGTGTATTCAGCACAGTCAAGATTAATTGATGCACCAACAAAAGCTCTCCCCTATTAGAAAATAATTATATTATAATAATATAGATCCCTGCTAGGTGTGGTGTATGCTCATTAGTTAAACAGGTCGGGAAATATGCGCCTGAAACTGACATCCAAGCCCTGATTTGATCATTTCATTAATGGGCGGATTGGGTTACGTAATCAATTATAATCGATCGTTCTCTCAACGAGCTAAGAAGGGGGGTATATAAAATGCTTATGGCTTGTCTGTGTGCTCTATGGCAGCGGAGAGGTTTCTATAAACCTTGCATTGTCCCCAAGGACACTGCCGCCACTGTGAGCTGCTGAGCACAACAATGCACCTGTTAGTAAACACCACCCATTCTCAAAATACTTCGCACATACAGTTGCGTACACGAACGGCTTTGCGTTCCGCAAACGCAGTTTTGTACACAACTCCACGGACACCGGCTCAGTGTGTTTCAGGCGAACAATGCGCTGTTTGGTAAACGGCAAAGGATTTGGGATAACCAGATCAATGGCCTTTGTCTCGATAATAATTACTGTCTGCGGTATAAACGACAACCACGTGTGTATTGGTTTGTGTACCTTGCATTTAATGGGACTGCAAAGTTTGTGAAACTTGCCCATTTTTCAGGTATTGTGTTCAGAAAAGAACCGGTTCCCAATTGGCAGCTGCATTCAACCAAAGTTTGCGCCATTTTTGCACAAGAAACAAAACAACGAGCTTTCTCACTAACACACTGTGCACGTCCTCCCAACCGTATGTACCCTTTATCAGTTCAACACTCGTTTTGGGAGCCATGACGTACGGTGTACGAATTAAATAAACAACCCTAATTACAGGGTTGAATTCCTAATTAAGACCTATATGCATAATAAGGCTATATATAGACGCGCACAAAGGGCGACGGTATTGTGTGTGTGCATCACCCTGTCGCCAGTTACATGCAATATGATAGAGCCAATGTCCATATGCAACGTCGGATATGGCGACATGAGATATATTAATCAATCACTGGCTGGCTCACCATCCCATAGACCCGCGTATGAATGGCCCACACATGCTGGCATTGCTGTGCACGGCAACCAGATCACCCTCACTCTCTATCTCTCTCTCGTGCGTGCGAGCAGCTGGTCGCGACGCATCTCCATTCTCTCAAGTGGTGTCCCATTACCCATTCCTGAGCGGTTGGTGTGGCTCTTGAAATTGAAGCTGTGTATTGTCGTGGGCTCTACTGGAGCAGCTTGGCGGGACACGCTCGTTGGGAAAACGAACATATTTTACAAAGACTTGTGAGCACGGAGTATGCACATTATGCACACACCATGTGTCGAAACATGTTACAGTCTGGGGTTCATTTTTATATAGGGTGTATCAGTAACGTTTTGCTGGAAGATATTTACGTATATAGCGGTGAGTTACGCAGTGGTTAATGCGGCTAATTTTTGTGAATCTACCGATTTTTGAATTAATTGATGAACACACATACGCAGGAACCTTTACCGATACTCACAGCTTACTATGTGCAACTGGAACTTACTATATGAGCTCATGTGATCTATGTGCTCATGTGATCTATGTGCTCATGTGATCTATGTGCTCATGTGATCTATGTGCTCATGTGATCTATGTGATCCTGTAGCTAGAGGGGAACGTACATACGTACGAAAAGGCCCCATCAGTGACTTGCGAAACCGAGTAGAATCTTAATAGTGCATAATTCGTCGCAATTAGCCCTCCTTCAATCTTGCTGGCGTAGTGGGTGCCGCGAAGATCCAGGTTGCTAGTGGCTATTGGCAGAAGAGGCCCGAAATCCACTTTGGGCATAATGGGGAGAGGGCATTGACTGAATCACTCTCATAGGGCATCGCTCTCTTAGGAACCCATCACATCTTGACATGTCGTTTCAGTCCTAATGTTGTGTGACGTACCTACCTACGAACCCTGCAGCACTTTAGTCGAGGCCCAACACCTACCGTTAACCTGGCAGTGTGTCTGTATACTAACCAATACAGTTTCAGTGCAGGCCTGAAGCGTTTGTATGCTGTATATTTTATAAACCACATTTTCATCAGATCTGTATGAAGGAAATGTACATATTATACTGAATCTGGTGGCCTTTTATATTCGGAACTGTTAAATGTTCGTGAGGTGTGTTTCAAATAGAACACTCTTCAGATTCAGTATAGTGGCACTATAATATAAGATGTCAGTATATACTCCTAATTCCCACACACTATCTACGTCACATGGCAATTTCCAGTCCAAATAAGCCATCCGTGCCACTACAAAAATTCAGCACCACACAATCACTGTGTGCGATTTCCACGGTTACTATAGGCACGTGTGCTACAAACTTGATATAGTTGTATCACCTTACACCATCTCTGTGACATCTCAAGCAACATTATACGTCTCATAATTTATACCGGATTTACTACGAGTCCTGTATACAATATACCTCACAACCATGGGAAAAACAATATTGTGTATTAATTTTATTAGAAGAATAAAGAGTTTTTCGTCACTCCGTAGTATTTATCCAAACACCACGATGATATATTCAACATCATCTGTTCTCCATTAAAATGAACTAACACATGCTACAATAGAGTGGTGTTGCATAATACCCCACACTAGAGGGCGCTATATGGCCGCATGGCACGCATGCCAACCCAACCAGCTGGACACAAAGGTGCAATTTGCACCGAGTCATTTTCCAGGAATCGTCGTTGATGTGCCGTCTGATCGCCATGGCGATAAATACAAGAGGACAAATATGCTGGCAATAAAACCGTAAGTCTATTAATGCTTATATAATCCAAGAGGGGTGACCCTATAATGTTTAAGGGCATTAATTGCATTGGAATGTAACATGTATACGGAATATAATGCCGCTGGAAAGACGGCCAAAGTTTTACTTATGTCCAAAATGACAAAAGCGCGTAAATCCTTTTTAGTTTTATGTGAATTTTTAGGCTTGGCTTAGACGTTTGAAGCTTCCTTTGAACGTGTGTGTGTTTAGAGTATTCTGGGCGCCCGCAGCGAATGCCCGTTAGCTAAAAGCCAACAGCTGACATGTGGTTTTCGTTCTGACATGTGGTTGTTTCGTTCCAGGAAATACACGCAAACACACAAAGCAGGAAGTAATTGCATCGGCACGTACATGGAATACATTAGCCGAACCCTCTGCCCATTAGATATAATGCACATTCCATCAGCTGCGTGTAGGTATGTAAATACCACATCACAGGGGAGCGGATTTGCCTCCTGAATTCTTGACACGCATGCCGTCAGGTTGCACCGCGTGAGGTTTGAATAATGGGATACACAGCGCGGAGGCTGTTTTGTGTTTTTAACGGACGCACATGAAACGAACACACCTCTCTGAAAAGGACACCTTATCGTGTCAATTAATAACGCTCCTGCCAGCAATAACATATAATTCATTTTGCAGCCGCGTCTTCTGCTATTGCATAAAAAATTACTTTCAATTTCAATTTAATTGCAGGGTATAAAAATTAAAGTTGACCACGAAAAACAATTGGGTGAAGTTAATAAAAGAATATAATACTGATGTCAGCCACACACGATACAAAATTAATAAATCTCATGCCCACTTACACATACATACATACACACCATTGTGACATTTAGCCGTGCAAAAAAACTATTATAGAAATGGCGAATTCATAATCATGAGAAAGCATAATATAGACTGTGTCGTGTTCTTCCGCTAGCAACCGGCGCTACCATTCCGCGTCCACAACCTTGTCGAAGACTTTCGATATGGTCTCTAAGTGAGCGTGGTACTCTCCGTCGGGCAAAAAAACCTTGTCCAAAGTCTCCGCTTTCCCGAGAGCCGAAATTACAGAGTCGATTCGTTGGTGGGACTTTGTGGTGAGGTGTCGCTCGACCAGTCTGTGAAGCATCTCTCCGATGTCGGCCACCAACTTGACGAGAAACGGACGGTCGTAGCTGAAGTCGACCTGCGAGAAGCTTATTACAGTCAGCGCGGCATGTCGGAATTTGGTCCGTATTTTGACCCCCAGCGCCAGTTCTTCGCCGTTGAACTGGCTGTTCTTGTACAGGAGACCGATTTTGACGGTGATTTTGATGAGATTTTTGATGACTTTGTCGGCTTTTTTGTGGTCCGCAAGCTCGAGTTTCAAAATCAAGTGCAGCGTGTCCAGCAGAGAGGCTAGGTTGTCGTCGATGAAAGATTTCACGATCGTTTTGTTGGTGACTTTCCCGATGACCTTTTTCTGGATTCGCAGACCCAACTGCTTCGAGTTAAACCTTCCCCCCGATTCCTTGGCATCTGCCACTATACATTGATGGTGTGGGATAGAAAGGATAGAAAGGATATGCATTAATCTTAGCTAGTCTTTATGGTATATACTTTCAAGGATATTGGTACAATACGCAGCACAATCTGAAATTCAATGCATTCTCCTATACACAAGAGAGAGATGAGCAAATTGTGGTTGAATTGAAAGTCAATCCATGAAGTTTTCCGCACCATTTCTCTCTCTCTACTGCTTTCAAATCCACCCACACACATGTAAGACCACACACTCTGATACTGTCAGTACCTAATAACTCAACAAAGTATTATTATAATTATTTATAACTATGTACCCTAATGCAGGTGCCTAGAGCTACAAAGGACAATGAAGCGTGTCAGTGTGCATTAATAAACCAACGAGGGGTGATAAAAGGAATAAAACACGAGCTAGGGTTCTCCTTAAGGGAGTGGCATGTTAGTGCAAGCGCAGCGAGGGAGTAACACAATCCACACAATCGTTAATTACCGGATTTATCGACCTGTGCAATTTTCATGTGCATTAGTATGCGGATTAACACATTAATTAGGTACACCTCAATTGATTGAAGGGGCCAGCTTTCTGATTGGTTAGACAAGGCTCATTAGCCACTTTAGAGTAACCCCGTTGCGAAACTATTAACCCGTCGGCATAGCGAAAATATCGCAGCATTCCGGATTAGAAAGGGTGCACATTAATTGGGATTAGAGCCCCACCCACATTCCAGGGTGCAAGGTCCAATTCCCATGTCTTCACGTGTCCATGTCAAAATGCACTACAGCTGTGTAGGCGGCATATCAAGGCTATATATGCAGCATTAATGTACACAAGGCACTTTCCTTTTGGTGTACATCCCAACCATAGCCGACCTGTGTATATACCTGGTAAAGAAATAGCTAAGCAATATCTAGAAAGGCCCACAGGGTCAGCCATACATGGGTTGGAGCTGGACTCGGCTTGAAAGAACTCAGCAATACATGGGTTGGAGCTGGACTCGGCTTGAAAGAACTCAGCAATACATGGGTTGGAGCTGGACTCGGCTTGAAAGAACTCAGCAATACATGGGTTGGAGCTGGACTCAGCTTGACAGAATTCTCGCCAACACGACGCGATGAGTGTGCACATACATACAGTTGCAGTGAAGGGGTCTACACGTGCAGTGGTGGTAATTGCGAGACCACATCAAAGGCTAGGATTACAAGTCCCTTGCACACTTCAAAGGCAACCACCAGCAGATATTTAGAATTTCAGTTTTGATAAGTGAAGCCCAGTGCCTGCACAACGGCAATAACCTGTGTATTTATACACGTGTATTGGAACAGATGTAACGCCTGTATACACCTAATGGCTATTGGTGATACTTGTACGCAACCAGGTGGGCTTCTCCATTTAAACTTTGAGTAGGCCTGTTTGTGGGTGAAATGGGATGGTCATTCAACGCAGCATTGAGAAGACAATGAGCTGATTACTAGGATTGAGAAGGAATTGTATTGGCTAGCGTGGATGAGAGAGAGAAGCCTTGCCTACAACAAGCAACACCTACACCACAGGGCCAAAGGTTGGGAACAGAGATGAAGAGATGCGAACATATGGACACGCAAAAGAACATCCATATACGGGGGTTTCCATTGCCCAGTCAGAGACACTCTCAAAGACAGCAAGTTGCAACCATAGAGATATTTTGTTGAACGGAAGGGGGTACAAGATGTGCGTGTCTGCAAAAGCCTTTCAAACCCATTCAGGTAATTAGGAGAGAGGGAGAGGGTGGAGGGAGAGGGTGGAGGGAGAGGGTGGAGGGATATATAAACTCACTTGTATAGTGATGGGGAGGACTTTCCTGAGCTTTACAAAACTTGCTCCTCCTTCTAGCCCACAATTATCCTCGGAATCTTGATAAATAAACGAGAAAACACAAAAACACAACAAGATCAACACAATTTACGAGGTTCTCTACAACAAAACACATGTCCGAGTGTAAATACCCCGCCTACTTGGCGCATACCGTGCACAGAAGGCCACGTCTCCGATTTCGATTGCAGGTAGCCGATCCGGTCACGGGCAGAGAATCGGGTTTCCCTGACAGATGGCGAGGCGTGCGGTACAAGTTTACACTGCAAGAGAGCGAGAGTAGAGTTAGTCATACAATTCAGACCGAGGTCTGTACAAGGGGCCTAGTTTTGGCGATCTCAGAAGCTGGAAGCTCTGCCTGTGTGAACGACGGTTAAATTTCCCTTACCTCGGCCCCTGTAGTGCCAGCTCAGACCGCCTCTCACTTGCTGATCTGTCACAGCGGTTCAAAGTGTGGACTGCAGGTCCGCGTACAGTAAGCGCGTAGTGTTGGGTGGAGCCGCGCGCGGGGGTTGTAATTTTAGCACGCATGCGCATTATGTTAATGGGCGGGGCTCACACACGTGTTTTCTGCAGCTGGCTGCCGGTCAGAAAGAGACAGTTGATGAGGAGACATGGCAAAGGCCTCAAGCTCACCGGTTGGCGACGACGAGCTTCGGTCCGAATTGAAGCGGCTAGGTTTCGAGGCGGGCCCGATCACGGACACAACGAGACAGATCTACACAGGCAAACTGAAGCAGCTGAAAACGAAAACGAGCGACTCGCCGCCGCTGCTCAAGCCGGCGCAAAGCCCTGTCTCTCTAAAAGATAAACCGCAGCTCGGATCCCAAACGCAGTCCGTTGCCACGTGCTGCAGCAGCGGAGGGGTTTCAACAACCACAAAAAAGTCGGTGTCACGTGAGACTGGTACCCAACACTCGTCATCTTCAACCACCCAGCCTTCTTCCCTGCCCCTCCCTCAACCCCCTCTCTCCTCAAACTCTGTCATATCCCAACTGCTACAATCACTCAACAATGGCAGCCATCTTGCCTCTGACACGGCTTTCCTCTTCCCGAGTGGAGAGGTGTTTCTTGCCAGTCGATCCATCCTATCAACCCAGTGCCTTGACCTACTCCCCATCCTTTACAACAGAGAAGGTGTATCTCTCTTACCCCCTCTCTAACTCTATACCCTATGTTTCCTTTATGATCTGTACTGATTTGCCCAAAGCAGTTTGCGTATATAAGAGATCATTTATGGTATATAGTCGGTATATAGTCAGTACATTAGCCTGCATGAAAGTATACGGAATAACATTGAATGTGAAATTCATGGAATATTCAGCTTCACAATCTATGATCAAGAGGTTTTTTCCATTGCCACAAGTTACTCTTTGATACAGGCCAAAATTTGACATTTGAACCATGTTTTTCAGATGTGTTTGTGGTGAATGTGAGCACACTCAGCGGGCACACTTCGAGGTTCTTCGTGAGACCGAGTGAGCTAGTGAGAGACCTGAAGGAGAAGATTTCACTGGTCGAAGCCGTCTCAGTTCCCGAACAGCGGATCTTCTTTGACCAGACTGAGCTCGCGAACGAGACTCGAATCGGTCACACTGCCATGGCAGACGGATGCGTGGTGCACCTGGTTGTGAACCCTCTCTCCCCGTGTGAGAAAGAACAGCAGGACACTATGTATTTCTCGTCCTCCGTCAGCCCCGCCCTCTCTATCCACCATCTCTGTCTCAGTGTCGGTCTTGAGCAACTCATTCCCTTGGGCGGAGCTTTGCATCACCTCCGCCCGCCCCGCCTACCACTCCCACCTCACATATGTCACATAGTACATGTGTACGACGTGCCGTATCCTGCCTGGGCAGTGTTTGTTCACTTCCTTTACTCACAGCATCTCAGAGAAGGTATATATATATATGGCCACAATGAACTAGCTAGGCTCCAGATCAAATAGTGATGTCAGCAGGCAGTTTTCTGTAAGCCTAAGTAAACCCTTTCGGAGTGTGCACCCGAGAGAACTTGTTCTAGATGCCGTTTTTCCCCCTGTGTCTTAGTTTTTCTTTTCTGTTTCCATCCTCTATTTGGTATGCACACAATAGAGAACTTATGTGCTGCTAAGCATTAGGCAAAAATTTCCCCCAAACTATGATTTTCTTCAGACACAGGTCTGGAGGTGAGCGTGTGCTGCAGTGTTCTGGGAGAAAGGTTTAGGCTACCAGGCCTCGTCGGTGCTGCCTTGGGACTAGTCCAGCAGAAACTGACCCCCAACTCTGCCACTCTCCTCCTTCAGTTTGCCGACAGCATCAGCTCTGACCCACTCAGACAGGTGTGCCTGGCGCACCTCAGAAAATCTCAACAAGCCCTCAAGACTTGAATAATCACCACTGAGGACTCTCCAAGAGTACTTGTGCTCCACTGGACTCTCTAAGAGTGGTATTAGTGCCAAAATGCACCGTAAATCTCACATCGTCTTGTGGCAGTTGTATAATTATATGCTGTATTGTGTCTGGTTGCCGTGGAATAAGATACATTCCAGGTTTCCGTGGCAAATAATTCCTAAGTTGAATACATCCTCTAAGCAACTGGCCACAGATTTAAGTTCAATACACCCTCTATGAGAAACCTCCTCTGCATTACTCGAGTTCAAGACATCCTATGACCAACAGAGCACATATTGTGCATTTTCCCACACAAACCGCCCCGGGCCTCTTGTTTCGTGATATCACAGTGTTGTGAATACACAGTTGGACATTGATTATGATGAGACGGGTAACAAATTCCCTAATGGTTGTTAACAACAACTCCTCTACAGAGACTATGTATGTGCGGTGGACGCAAGTCGATTATGCTAAACACCACATTCATTCATGTATATAGCTCGTTATTGCCGCGACAACTGATTAAGTTCTGCCCCACGCGTTTTCCCGAGAAATGCCGCAAAATTGAATTTTTGGGCGCTGTGCCCTTAATTGAAGCATGACGTCATTGGAATGATGTAATGCCTATGTACACTATAGGAACATCAAAGAGCACAAGTGGAGTACGTCTTTTGCCATATCTGCTGAATGAGTACATGTTCGGTGCCTTAAATGACCAATTTGCACAGAAGCCGAGTCACACCCTATTAATCAATGAGTAATTACAGACGGAAATCTCTTTCATATACACACAACCAAAGAACAAAATTAGGAAACGAAATTAAGTTTTGAGTCTTTGTGAAATCTTGCATGTGCCGCCTTCAAAAAGTATTGCCTTCTGCCCTTTTTTTTGCTACGACAGTGCATCCAATTGTGACTGGATAGTTTCCAACTACATAAGAGAACAGTAGAATCATTCATCTCTATGCTTATTTTCTCGACACATCTTAGATTACTAATTGATATTGTCTGCTATTAAGTGAAGGGTAGAGATTAATTTGTGAGTAGCACTGTTAAAAACAGGTGCCTTTTATTCAGGGTGTCCATTATAAGAGGTTATGCATAATGAAAGACAGACATAATCTGAGCTAGCAGGAGGTGTCCATAAAATAAGTGGACACTGTCTCGAGCTAAATAAAGCCATTAGCACATCATTTCCAAGCCAACAGCAGCATTACTATTGCGGAGACCAGATAGAATAGCGGTCAAGAATGTGAGGAGCTGGTACCGATACTGATTTACACAGGCCTTTTGAACCGCGGATACCGCAATGATGTCACCGTCCCCCTGGGCACCATGATCACACGCACCACACCCAGTTGCCGTGGAAACCACTACGCAGAAACACGAAAGAACAGTGGAGGGCTGCCAAAGGCCGCGTGACTCTATCTGTGTGTGTATGAAGTTCCCTGATCCACCCTATACATAATATCTCTGGCCTGATGGTCAAAAGGATGATTTATGCCAGTGAGATTTAGTTAGTGAGCTTGATGCTAGTGTTGATGGGTTTACGTCACTGGCTAAATTGTCTCAATCTAGGCGCGGAACGACGTAACAATTATTGCCTCCAGCAAACACACAATGTGCATACTTGGAACCGTGTTTAGTGCTATCAGGACCTATTACATTTGGGAGATCGTTTGTACTGCTGACAAATATGGACAGTGCAAATAACACCAGTTGTGGGAGGGGATAAATAGAGAGATCCACAGACCAAAGATAACACAGCTTTGTTAACATGCTCGAGCACTGTTAAAGTACAATACCCATTATTGACCATGTAAAGTGTGTACATATATACCTGGACACATGAATGCTAGCAAACAGATACTGTTATGAACTGTTGTCTCCTAGCATTTCAACAAAGTACCTTTTCATAAAATTTGAACAGCTCCTCGTGAGTAAACTCCACACGAACTCTGTCCTTCTCCTGACCAGCAAAAATAAAAGTAAATGTATGTTAGGCTCCAGAGCAGTCATATTTTACCTACCTCTCCGTCCTTTATGCCAAATTCGAACAGTGCGTTTGGTAGCTTCATCTTTGTGCGACTGGACTGTGCAATCTGGAGATTTAGCCTCCATTTCACCTCGTCCAGCTATTATATCACACCACAGTTCAAAAAACAAGGAACATACTGAATTATGTATGTGGCACGATATCATGTGTATCCACCTGTTTTGGGTAGAATGTTCTAGACTGCAACTTTTCGACCACTGATTTCCCATGTGCAGTCCACATACCCACAAACACCTGGATCTACGATGATACACAGCAGACGTGTTTTCATCATGATGCCGTAGACGAGTTTTTACCTTTTCTTCTTCCAGGCCAATCTTTTGTAAATGTTGACTCAGGACGGCTGGCTTGGCCAAGTGGTACGCTGCCTGTAGTGTGGGTATTTGTTGTGTCAGGAAGGAGGTATACCTAATATAGATATAGCTAACACAACTAGAACTCGCTGCATGGAAAAGGAGAAACCTAGGCGACACGGGGAAAATGTTCAGAGACATCCCCTCATTCGAAAGTATTAGAATGCGGCAGAACAAAGTGTCCTAGAGAGGTTTGGAGAGTGCTTTTCAGATGTTCATTGTGTTGTGAGCATGGTGTGAGTAAAGTAGTGTGTATGTGATGCTGGACCTGTTGCATAATGAAAGTGGACGTGTCCAGAACCAGTTCCACGTCCTTTGGTTCCAATTTCAGAGCGGCAGGAAGCTTCTCGATCTCTTCAGGACTGAAGGCGGGCTCGTCCTGAGAAAAGGGGAGGGGTTTGAAGGTGAGACAACCCGCGGACACGTCCGTGTCACCTTCAGGTGAAGTTTTGGCATGATTCTGGTCAGGATTTTGCTGAATCTTCCAGCCTCCAGCCCGTTTATCAGGCCGGCCGCTTTCTTGAGGCTGGCAAGATATAGATACGTGGTACTGGCCGGGGGTAAAAGGGTGTAAAACTGCTCACCTCGGCGTGACCTGAAAGAGCTCCATTTTCTCTCCCGCTCTGCTCCGCTCACGCCCGTAATCACCATTTCCAGCTCCACCCACTTTTCCCCCGTGCATATTACGCGTACGCGCTTCTTCGTCGCGCGCTACGATTATGCACATGCGAGTGGATCCATATAGCGCATGCGCGTACTCAAAGCGCACACTTTCCAGAACTCAAAACTACACATTGAGAGAAAAATTTTCCACAGTCACAAGTGTCCCATAATTAGAATTCGGAGCTGTCGTCATTGATGGCACGTTGAGCCTTGAGTTTGGTCATGTGATCAATCAGCTGCTGTACGGTCTTTTCTCCGTGCACGACGTTGTCACGAGTACGGACATTCACCGTCTTATTGGTCATCTCCTTTTCTCCTACAACTGCATATTTCATCAACAGGGTCAAAGCAAAGCTAATCAACGATACCCAGAAAAACAATTTTAGAGAGAGAGAGAATATCAGCATGGAACTACAGTAATCAACAGTGTCAAAGCAAAGGTAAACTAATCAACGATACCCAGAAAAACAATTTTAGAGAGAGAGAGAATATCAGCATGGAACTACAGTAATCAACAGGGTCAAAGCAAAGGTAAACTAATCAACGGTACCCAGAAAAACAATTTAGAGAGAGAGAGAGCGAGAGAGGGAGAGAGAGAGAGAATCTCAGCAGCAACGTACAGTGATCACAGCCATAGCCCCCCACCTCTTAGGATTGATTGACAACGCACCCAGGATATAGTTCCACTGGCTTAGCTGAGCATTTCGGATCTTCTTGTTGAAAGTGTCGCCTGGCGCCAGATCAGTCTCCACTCTAAATCCTGCATCGTGAATGGTCTGATGGAGCTAACGAGAGAGAGAGAGAGAGGAGAGAGAGAGAGAGAGAGAGAGAGAGAGAGAGAGGAGAGAGAGAGAGAGGAGAGTAAGCAAAGTTCTTATACCGTTTGGAGGATTTTACCCGACTTTTGCTTTAAACTATTGGTAATCTATGCGTGGTGCATGGTGTGGTGTGGGTGCCTGAGATTGACTTCTGACAGAACCTGTTTCTTCCACACTACCGTCTGCTGCATGCCGGATATTATTCCCCGAAAGGAAAACACAGATTTTTCAGCTCACTCGACTACACGTCAATTAGCCAGCAATTAATCGTCAGGAATGTAACGTTATTTCAAGGAATTTAACAAAATTTATACCCTCCTGCAATTAGGTTTGTGGAATTTAACAGCATATGTGGCGTGAATTCGATTTACACCCCAGGATCACACAAAGAGCAGTATATAACACTTAGACCATGCAACGACAGGTAGAATATACACAAAAATAAACAGTGCAAATTCTGACAACACTATAATAATAAACAAACGGCCTCATGTTCATGAAAAGAAAGTCGGAGCGAAAGTTTCAAATGCCCGGGTCACCATGGTGATGCACCAAGAAAACCAGCTGCTCGCATTCCTCTACGAGGTTTGAATATAAGTCAACTGAGGTCACCCTCAGCAACAAACCACACCCCCAGATACAGCAACCTGATTACGCACGACCCTCTTCCCCCCGACTGAGGAAATCAGGACACCTCCCAGGATTCCTTTTCTCTCGTAATTTAACAACAGCAAATATAAAGGAAACATGAGTCCAGACACACACATGACAAAGACAAAAGTCTCTCGATCAAGTACTTGACCACCCACATTCTAAGGCAGGTCAAAACGATATTCATCCACGCTAAGAAATGCGATCTGTTTGGCCTTCCCCGACCTTCTGCTACCCAGACATCACATGGTGGGTTTCCACGGCGACCGGGGAGGGCGACACACACACACGATGTCATGTGACACTGGATCGTTTACCAGACGTAGGGTCGTGTATAGTGGCACCTGTGAGTTATCTGATAGTGCACTGCCCCTTAATACGGGCATTGTTCACAGGTCTATTGTCTAATCCGCCACGAAAACAAGAGATAAAATGATACTTCTATCGAACCTTTTACCAAAAACATGAGGCCATACACACTTATACATGTATATACAGGGGCGTCAAGCACAAAAAATATTGAACCTGCTTTTTGATAGTAACAATTTTCTACTTGGTTGGCTACAAATTTACCCTACAAAGTTAATTTTCCTGGAACTCAGTTGCTAATGGTTGCTAATGGAAATAGGGTAAAGGGTTTGGCAGTGTTGCTAAAGAAACCCCGTTGCTATCAACCACATTTAGAAGAAAGAAGTATCCATTAGCGCCGAAATGAACCGACTCCTATCGGGACCTGTCTTCATCTCTTCCATTTGCACGTGTGCCAGATATCCCATGTCAGGAAGATGTTTCGGCACAGGAAAACGTGTTTTCCCCTCATTACAGATAATGCCAACTGCCACGTGCTACGGGCCGCACGCCACTCCATCCGTGTCATGGGACATGCTTCAGTCGCTAAAAGGGGCACACTGCGACTAAAATCTTTTTCAGTGTCGTAAAAACCCAAGTGATGCAATACCGTAGAGTAATATCAAAGAGCATACGCTTCACACACAAAAACTACACTCCCTAATAAGAGCTTCAGAGATTATTCGATTCTTTCGGAGGCACGTATATAGTTAAATGAAAAGACAAACCCAACCATCCCCAATACTTAACAAGCCAAGGACACATAAATGTGTCCACTGTCTCCATAAGCGGCAGGATTTTATATGGAGGTTTTAATACTAGGCGTTAATACTTTGTACATGGTTTCTGCTTGTATATTAGTGGCGTGGAAGGAAAGGGCTAATACATATGGAGGGTAGCATCAAGCAGTGACTGACTATACCGAAAGAGAAAAAAATACACTAGAATAAGATAGTGCAAAACACGACATGCATCTTTGCTTTGCGAAAGTGAAACTGTGTACATCTCCACATCTAAGAAGACATTCAAATAAACACAAAGTTTACGATTCCGTTAACGTGGTTAGAGTTGCTGTCATTTCATGGTGTGCGAAAAATGCGCTGTTTATGACAAGCAAATTAAGACTTTGCATACTTTCGAAAGAATTCAACACAACACAACGGCAAACAAGATTCAAATATGTCTAATTTGGGTTTTCTTGTTGAAAATGTGAGGATGTTGGTATGCAGGGGTAAATACCTACCTCGTGGGCATAACTGTCAAATTTTGAGGAGACTGGAACAATCATGACTTGAGTTGGAGAGAGCCAGAATGGCCTGATAGAGATATGGAGGCAGGGGGGAGGGAAGAGAGGGAGGGAAGAGAGGGAGGAGAGGGAGGGAAGAGAGGGAGGGAAGAGAGGGAGGAGAGGGAGGGAAGAGAGGGAGGGAAGAGAGGAGGAGAGGGAAGGAAGAGAGGGAGGGAAGAGAGGGGGAAGAGGAGGAGAGAGGAGGGAAGAGAGGGAGGGAAGAGAGGAGGGAGGAGGGAGAGAGGGAGGGAAGAGAGGGAGGAGAGGGAGGAGAGAGGGAGAGAGGGAGGGAGAGAGGAGGGAAGAGGGAGGAGAGAGGAGAGAGGGAGGAGAGGAGGAGGGGAGGAAGAGAGGAGGGAAGAGAGGGAGGAGAGGGAGGGAAGAGAGGGAGGGAAGAGAGGGAGGAGAGGGAGGGAAGAGAGGGAAGAGAGGGAGGGAGGAGGGAGAGAGGGAGGGAGGGAGAGAGAAAAATACAGATTTATGGTAACAGCAGCAAGTGTTAGATCAGAAAATGGTGCGTTTTTTTAATAGCAAACTCACAACCTTGAAATTATTCTTCTTTCTCAGTGGAACAGGCAGAACAGAAGTAACAAGCTCGTATTACAGCAACTACACCATTTCTACACCCAGAACATGATGGCACATTAAATACACCGCCCATTACATCCTAACAACCCTTAGCTACAAGATAACACACTAATTGTGTATACTGCATTGCACACAACCATGTCTCTCTTTTCCTCCGGGCGTTACACGAGATTACACAACTCCATCTCCTTGTATATACGTTTTTGACCCTTCCTCTTCCAAGAAATGGCCTGTTAACTCGTTCCATGCCAACGGCGCATATTAATCGCAAGTGGTTTTGATTGCACCGGCAACAAACACAAAAACGCACGCCATTATGTTGCCACGGAGATGATTTATCGCGATGCACGCGGCCAAGGAGGGCATTATTAATCAAACAGATTCCTGGAAGCAAAGACGGAGCACATGCAACGCTTTTAGTGGAGTGGTCACGTACGAAGGACCCCAACGAGATCAAACACATGAACCACACCACACATCACTAATACCCGTATCGTACAATACATGTACAACACAGGTTCTCTGTACCGAGATAATACAAGTAATTGCTGCACATCAAAAATAAGCCACAAGGCATTGCGACATATACCCATGCACCACAATGAGAAGATGCACACATGTCATCTTGTAATGCTGTTGATATTGCGACATTTGCCCGGGGGCCACGCGTGCCAAATGTCCCCACAAAGGCAGGACCACAGGTGCACGTGTAGGATTTTCACACACGCACAGGGCTTCAATCTGTCTTTGATCTAATGGGTTGAAAGTCCACACAAAAAGCGAACAAACACACATGTACACTTACACCCCAAGGCCAAAAACCTTTTCTAACAGGAGCAGCAGACTCACCATTTCCCTCCGAAACTCTCCGTGAGAATCGCCATCATTCTCTCCACAGAGCCGAGAATGGCTCGGTGGATAATGACCGGTCTCTTTCTCTCCTCGCTGTCCGTCCCTCTGTGGCGGTGTGGAGTGAAAGGGTTGTAACTTAAATGAGTGGAGTGCAAGGGGTTAACTTAAAAAGTGGAGTTGCTGGGTTAATGAGTGCGAGGGCCATCCACTGCGCTCGGGACACTACAAACGCGGATGGCCCTCGGGTTCATTGAAATCCGGTATGTCCCTCCCACGTAGTACATAACATATATATGTACATTGAGAACTTTATGTTAGCCCTACCTCTCTCCTAGATAATTCAACAACAAAACAAGACAGCTAAACAAGATCTCAACATGATAAATTTATCCCAGACAGACAGACTCCCTGTAATCTACCCCCTATCTACTAGCTCACTGCTGTCAGTGCATGTTGTACTATGCCTTTGTTGTGATGTCACGATGATGTAATGATCTATGATGTAATGGTCTTACGTAATGTAGAGGAGGTTGAATCTTTCTGGCAGCTGGAAGTCTAGCTGGATAGTGGCGCATTGATGTGGCCTTTTGAGGGCATCCGTTATTACTATATCAATCTATGGAGGGGAGAGGAGGAGGAGATGTGTAAAGAGAAGATTTAAACATTATGTATATATACTTTAGGTCCATAGAAGGCTCCGTCACCAGGATTGAGTTTCCAGGTCTGTCCAGTCTCCCCGGCAAACTTGTTCAGAGCCTCCTCCAAGTTCTGAGAGGCAGACAGACAACAAAACAGATCATACCAATCAAGTAAAGACGACAGATCGTAAAAACTCAAAAAGCTGAGAAGTGACAGGCAGAAAATTTAGCAGTCTATGCATGAAAAAATATTGTAAGCAGGGGAAAAATATTCACAGCGAAAAAGTTTTTCTCCCTCAAAAGCACATGTCAGTGTTAGTGTAATATTCATGCCTTTTCAGCCGCGTCCCAGAGAGCAAGATCTCCCATGTACTTCTCGGGCCGCGTGGAGAGATAGAGCTTGAACGAGAATCCAAACACGTTGTAGACAGCTTGGAGGAAATCCAGACTTCCAGCAATCTCATCTTTCACCTGCACGGCGTGAACCACGGGGGAAAGACAGGGGTTAGGTGGGAGCGAAATGGGAGGAAAGACGACAAAGGTTTGGAGCAGGGACAAACGAAAGATTGAGTGAGATAGGGAGAAAGGAGAGAGACAGGTGCGAACAAGATAAGGGGAAAGACTAAATGTCAACTATCATAGATAGTTGGTTTGTCTCTTCTTCCACTCACGTTCTAGAAATGCAAACCTTTATTTAGGGGTGAAAGGGGGAAGGGGGCATAGTGCAGTAGGTAAATGGCTAACTCAAAGTTAATGTTACTATTCCATACTCCGGCTATAGTCAAACTACTATAGATAGTTGGTTTGCCTTTTGTTCCACTCACGTTCTTTAAAGAAACGCAAAACTGTTCAAACCTTTATTTAGGGTTGGAAGGGGGAAGGGGGCATAGTGCCAGTAGGTAAATGGCTAACTCAAACACACCACACCCACCTGTTCTGGGGTGCAGAAAATGTGGGCGTCGTCCTGCTGGAACCGGCGAACCCGCGTGAGGCCAGTGAGAGCGCCCGACACCTCGTTGCGATGGAGAACTCCGAAATCGGCCATTCTGAGGGGTAGCTCTCTCCACGACCTGGACACGCCATGAGCAGCAGGCTTTCAGTTTCAGAAGGGGCTGTGCTCATTCGACCAGCCCCTCCCACTTCTGCTCTGAGCCCCTCCCCCTTTCTCCTTTCCTTATGCAGCCCCTCCCACTTTATCCTCTAAGTAATACGTTAGCTAGCTAGCTAGCTGGCTCATGCATTATCAGCCCCTCCCACATTTCTCTCAGTGTGTACAGCAATGCATGTTGTTTACCGTTATGTTGTTGTTGTTGTTTACCTGGGGCGGTGGTCAAACATGAGACAGTGGCCGGGACAGTTCATTGGCTTCAGTGCAAATGTCTCCTTCTCCACATCTATCTGGAACATGTTCTCCTAAATAAGGGATACCTTCAGCGTGTGAAATTGCACTAGTTTCACGCATAATATCGAAGAATTGCAATAACAGCACCGCATATCATACATTCTACATGAACAGGTGTTCGAACCAAAGGGCTAGAGTTCGCTAATCCATGTACAAGTTCCTCCTTCTCACCTCGTTCAACACGAGTAAAAGTTCTTCTCTGCCAATACTGCAGTATACTAGTTGCCCAATTGTCATCAGAATCTCTCTATTTTCTCTCTAGCATTCGCTTCATTCCCCCATCCCTCTTCCCTCTCCCCCCATCTTAATATACACTTAAGCTAATCTCTCAGGGAGGGTGGTGTCAGAGACAACCTCAGTCACACACCGAGTAATGCTGCCAGTGGCCCGAAGTCTCCCAGAGCTTGCTGTTGTACATGTTTGGAGACACGACCTCCTGGAACCCCCTCTTCCAGTACTCGCTGCGAATGAACTCCGTGAGTGTGTTGTATATGAAGGCCCCTCGAGGGAGGAAGAAACAGCTCCCGGGACTTAGCTCGTGGAAGAAGAAGAGCTCCTGGTTCTGTGAGGAGAGGAGGAGGAGGGGAAGAAGTAGGCAGCAGAGAGTAGGAGGAGTTTCGTTTAGAGGTACAGTTAATAATGGACACATTGGCACCAGAAACTCCGTCCTTTATAGGGCTCTTTGGAGGTTAAAATTTACTACAATGATACCTCAAAGTGTGTCTTTATTGAGAGATTTTGTCTAACACGTCCTTATTCTGAGTGTCCTTTACAGAGGCTCTACTGTTTACATTAGTCTTGAAAGTCTTACTCGTCCTATTTTGCGATGGTCTCTCTTTGCAGCCTCCTCTTGGAAATGCTTCCACTCCTTCAGCTGTGAAGACAACCAGCAGAGGGTTTACTCCTCTCTCCTCCACCCTTCCTTCCACCTCACCTGTTTGCTGTCCGGGAAGGAGATGCCGTAGATCCTCTGGAGAGACTCAGCCTGCGCATCTCCTTTCCAGTAGGTCGACGAGTTCTGAAGAGATACATACACACAACTGTTCCAGTCTGTCCAATCCGCAGATTGGACGACCCTCCAGGCTGCCATACAACTCATAACAATGTCCAATCCAAGGATTGGACAACCCACTTACAGCTGCTATAGTATCGCCACCTCGTAGCACACAAACACGCAAGGTTGCTGTCCCATCCATGGATAGGACAATTTCAGGCTCCCCACATTGAAAGGTTTCTGTCCCGTCCATGGATTGGACGACCCACTTACGGCAGTGATGGTAGCAGCCTTGATCTTTCCAGTATGTCGAACATGTGGTCCTCTGCACAGATCAATGAGCGGACCACACCTAACACAGCAGCAAGCAGAGGTTTGAAATTCGAAATTTAAAATTTTAAATCTTGAATTCCTACCGGTAGACGGTAGTGGTGGGTGTGGTTATCTTCTCATCAATTATCCGACACTTGAACTCATTATACTAAAATAAAGATGGTAGAGATGATCTGAATGTTGGAGAACATGCAATTACACATTTGAGATTATACCTCCAGAGTGGTGAGAGGGAGGAGATAGAGTAATGCACAAGCTTCAGCAGCAATCACTGAAACAGTAATCACCTTGAACATTTCGAGGAGGTCTTCCTTTTTCACGACAAGTCGAACAAACTGTTGTTTTTCCTTCACGATGTTCTTGAAGATGGCCTCGAGTGACGAGAAATCACTGGGTGCCACCTGGACCAAGGAGGAGACAGGGGGAGAGGAGGGAGGGGGAGGGAATAATGGGGGAAATAAAACAAAGATTAAGGAAGAAGGGAAAGAGGCGAATGGAAGATGGAGAGCAAAAAAAGATGGAAATATGTGCACTATTCATTATCGGTGACTTGTTAAGTTAATAATCACAGGGACCTGTTTGTCGGCCATCCAGGCATCGTAGTAGTAACCTCCCTCGATGGGTGGTCCGTAGCAGAGATGGGCTCCATAGAATCTCTCCATTGCCTCCCCTAGAATATGGGCACTGGAGTGCCAGAAGACCTGCTGGGCTGTTGGGAGAGGATAGGAGAGGGAGGGAGGGGGAACCCCTCTAGTCTCGACATTAATCAGACGGCAAAGTGTCTATATATTTTAGAGAGGCAGTTTTTGATGTTCACATTGTATGCTTCTACTTAGTGTGCCGTTTGTATGATACATGATTACGTAAAACGCATCCTGCAGAGGTGTCCTCTCAGAGTTGTCCTTAGAGAGATAGCTCCAGAACCACGTATTCGTCGCGATTACTCCACACACGCAGAAGAGGCCTGGGTCTAAAAGTGGAGCCATACCTTCCTCGTCATCAAACTTGAGCAGCTGAAGAGAGCAGTCCTTCTCTAGAGGTCTGTCCAAGTCCCAGAGCTCACCATCCACCTGTGAACAGGACACGTGGACATAAAATCACTAACGAAACAACATCTATTATACCAGGGGCCCCCCTGCAAGGTGCCAAGAGAAAAAAGATGGGAAACTCTGGACAGCCAGAGCATACCCCAACTTCTCTCTCTGGCATCACGAGTTTATAAAGGCTACCAGGAGTGCAGCACTTGTGCTTCTGTATACCTTTGCAACGACGTTGATTCACATGTTTACCTTTGCGATGACGGTGTTGTCAGCCAGTCCCTTGCTGATCTGGGCGGCCACATCGCAGGCAGTTGTCTTCCACGACGATCCACTGACCGTCTTACCATCTGGCAGAGTCACTGTTATCGGCGTCGACTCTTGAGCTGAAGAAATGTGGGATTAATTTTTGCATATACTTTTCATTATGGGTATACACAATGTAGTGTTAGAGAATCATAATTATGGTGTATCGAAAGCAAAAAGAACGGAATAAAATAAAGTGAAAGTATGAGCGTACAAACCTTCCACCCACTGGTCGTATTCTTTCTTCAGTCGCTCAAACATCTCCAAACGGGGGCCCAAAAATTCGGGTGGGGGGTCCAGCTGTCAGGTTGACTTGTCTTTCTTCATTATGCACTCAGACTCAGAGCTTGCTTACCTCTTTCAGTCCTTCCCCTCCTTTCTTCTTCCTTTCCCCGCTGTCTGGAGTCCCACTAGAGCTAGCCATTGCGCCCTGAAACCGACGGTGGTTCACTGGTCTTCCGCGAGCAGCAACCGCGGTATTTGATATTCCCAGACTCCGCCCACCGAACACGAACTTGCAAGAGAGCCGCCTAGCTAGAAGGCCAAGCAGCATTCAGTAGGTCGATGGACAGTATAAAGAACGCTTTTCCTCCCGAGAGCCTCAGTCAACTGCTTTTCTCTCTGGCTGCGAAGAAATCCGACGATTGCCTCACGCTCGTGCAAGCGCAACACGAGGTCGCGGTTCAAAATTCCACAGGCCGATCTCCACTAAATTAGAACAAAACACGGGCCGAACGGTCAAGGTCACGTGGATAATCCTGACGTAATTCAAAGGGGCGGAGTCGTCCGTCTCTCTCTAGGCAGAGGAAGAATGGCAGTTCCAGTGTTCTCAGACGTTGGTTCTCACTCCCATATACCCTCGGCGACAGACATAAACCCGAAGCTCTCGCAGGAGGTCCGTCTCTACGAGAATTCACGGGAGAGGGAGGAAATCGACAACCGCGCCAACGTGTTCGCGCTCATCAACACCATCCAAGCTCTGGAGAAGGCCTACCTCAAGGACGCGGTGAACCCCTCCGAGTACGCCAGTCAGTGCAGCATCCTGCTCGCCCAGTACACGGCGGCATTCAAACTGGTGAGAGAAAAGTTCCCCAAAGTGGAGGATTTTATGACGCGCTATCTACTGGACTGCCCGGCCGCGCTGGAACGGATAAAGGAAGGGCGCCCGCTGACGGTTCAGGACGACGGTGGAAACGTCCAGAAACTTATAGCAGAGATTGTCTCTCTGTTTATTACCATCATGGACCGACTCCGCCTTGAAATAAAGGCAATGGACGAACTACACCCGGACGTAAAGGAGCTCTACGAGATAATGTCCAAAATGAGCTCTCTCCCGCGAGATTTCGAGGGACGGACAAAGGTGAGGAAGTGGCTGGACAACTTGAATGCAATGTCAGCAAGTGACGAACTTTCTGAAGACCAAGTCCGACAGATGCTGTTTGACCTCGAGAGTGCATACAATGACTTCAACCGCTTCCTTGCTCATTAACGTTTGTGTTTCACTGTTCCGTATTGCGTTATTATTCTCATTTCCACAAATAAAATTGTAACCTTCAAACATGTTGGGAAACTACGAAACATCAGCAGATGCCGAGTCAGCATGTGTTTTGTCTCCGTGGTAACCATTGAGACTGATGACAGTTGACGAGGGGGTGTGTCTGTTGGTTGTCGTGGCAGCCGTGAGTAGGGCATCAATGGCTCCAAGCAACTGGAACCCTCTTCGTTGAAATTCTAGTTCTCTGGCAATTTTCTCTTCTACTAATCTCAGCAGACCAGCTATAGACTTTGACTGGTACAGAGTATCGCCATAGATATCTGTAGAGGAGAGAAATGGGGAGGGAGAGAAGGAGAAACGAAAGGGAGAGAGGAAGGTATCTATCTGTTAGAGAGGTGTCCTCATTTCAGGGGTGTACATACTCGGAGATGGTTCCACTGTTAACAGAAGTGACATAACACCTCTCACCGAGTATTGTATCAAACACGTCCAGCATGAACGACGAATACTTTGGTTCCAGAATGGAGAACCGGGTGAACAGGAGAATGGGGTACAGTTCCTTCTCGTTGCGACCGGAGAGGGCGGTACTCAGCCCGTCCCTGCGAGCCAGCTCCTGCAGAAGACTGAACACCAACAGTCTCTGGGGATTGTTCTTCCCCCTCCAATTTACCTACAACCAGAAAAGATTAAGAGTCACAGTGAGAGCTTTACAAACTATACATGGTATCATGCCATTAAAACGGAGGTCTTTTTGGGTAATGACTCCACAGTCTACTTACATGCATACATTCATACCTTCAGCACACTGTTCAGGGCCTCTCTGTACTCATACATTCATACCTTCAGCACACTGTTCAGGGCCTCTCTGTACTCATACATTCATACCTTCAGCACACTGTTCAGGGCCTCTCTGTACTCATACATTCATACCTTCAGCACACTGTTCAGGGCCTCTCTGTACTCATACATTCATACCTTCAGCACACTGTTCAGGGCCTCTCTGTACTCATACATTCATACCTTCAGCACACTGTTCAGGGCCTCTCTGTACTCATACATTCATACCTCCAGCACACTGTTCAGGGCCTCTCTGTACTCATACATTCATACCTTCAGCACACTGTTCAGGGCCTCTCTGTACTCATACATTCATACCTTCAGCACACTGTTCAGGGCCTCTCTGTACTCACACATTCATACCTTCAGCACACTGTTCAGGGCCTCTCTGTACTCACACATTCATACCTTCAGAACACTGTTCAGGGCCTCTCTGTCTCACCACATTCATACTTCAGAACACTGTTCAGGGCCTCCGTACTCACACATCAACTCGAACACGTTCAGGCCTCTCTGACTACAATTCAGCCTCAGAAACTGTTCAGGGCCTCTCTGTACTCATACATTCATACCTTCAGAACACTGTTCAGGGCCTCTCTGACTCACACATTCATACCTTCAGAACATGTTTCAGGGCCTCTCTGTACTCTACATCATACCTTCAGAACACTGTTCAGGGCCTCTGTACTCATACATTCATACCTTCAGAACACTGTTCAGGGCCTCTCTGTACTCATACATTCATACCTTCAGAACACTGTTCAGGGCCTCTCTGTACTCATCACATTCATACCTTCAGAACACTGTTCAGGGCCTCTCTGTACTCACACATTCATACCTTCAGAACACTGTTCAGGGCCTCTCTGTACTCATACATTCATACCTTCAGAACACTGTTCAGGGCCTCTCTGTACTCACACATTCATACCTTCAGAACACTGTTCAGGGCCTCTCTGTACTCACACATTCATACCTCCAGAACACTGTTCAGGGCCTCTCTGTACTCACACATTCATACCTTCAGAACACTGTTCAGGGCCTCTCTGTACTCACACATTCATACCTTCAGAACACTGTTCAGGGCCTCTCTGTACTCATACATTCATACCTTCAGAACACTGTTCAGGCTCGTACTCACACTTCATACTCCAGAACATGTTCAGGGCCTCTCTGTACTCACACATTCATACCTTCAGAACACTGTTCAGGGCCTCTCTGTACTCATACATTCATACCTTCAGAACACTGTTCAGGGCCTCTCTGTACTCACACATTCATACCTCCAGAACACTGTTCAGGGCCTCTCTGTACTCACACATTCATACCTTCAGAACACTGTTCAGGGCCTCTCCGTAATCGACATGCATACCTCCAGAACACTGTTCAGGGCCCTCTGTCACTAATACATTCATACCTCTCAGGAACACTGTCAGCGGGCCTCTCTGTACTCACACATTCAGACCGCCAGAACACTGTTCAGGCCTCTCTGTACTCACCCATTCAGACAGAACATGTTCAGGGCTCTCTGTACTCACACATTCATACTCAGGGCACACTGTCAGGGCCTCTCGTACTCACACATCATACCTCAGCACACTGTTCAGGGCCTCTCTGTCTATCACACTGCATAACTCCAGAACACTGTTCAGGGCCCTCTCTGTACTCACACATTATACTTCAGAGCATGTTCAGCGGCCTCTCTGTCTCACACATTCATACCTCCAGCAACGGCTCAGGCGGGGGCCTGTCTGTGTACTCACACTATACCTTAGAACAGGTCAGGGCATCTTGTACTAGAAATGATAACTCGAACCGTTCAGGGACTTGTGAGCGATTCATTACCTCCGAACATGTTAGGGCTCGGACATCATATCATAACTCCAGAAAAGGTCGGGAGGCATATAGGTACTAACCATATACCTTCAGAAATGGAAGGGGGTCTCGGAATCCACATTATAACTGAAATGGCGGGCCGCGACTACACATCATACTCAGGAACACGTGTGCAGCTCTACTCACAAG